CCGCTACCTGACGCGGCGCCGCCGCATTGAAATCGCCCACGCGCTCTGCCTCACCGAGCGCCAGATCAAGATCTGGTTCCAGAACCGCCGCATGAAGTGGAAGAAAGAGCATAAGGACGAATGTCCTGCTGCCGCCGCAGCTCCCGAGGGCGACATGCCCTCTGCCGCCGCCAGCGCTGCTGCGGACAAGGCCGATGAGGAGGACGAAGATGAAGAAGAAGAAGATGAGGAGGAATGAGGGGCCGGAGCCCGGGCCTTTGCTGCACCGGACAGTCGGAAAAGCGTCTTTAAGAGACTCACTGGTTTTATTTACAAAAATGGAAAAAATAAAAGAAAATGTAAAAAAAAAAAAAAAAAACCCAACAACCAGAAAACCCAGTCCCCAACCTGCATTCTACCCGCCCCATCACCCACTCCAGCTCCCAACTTTTCTGTACTGAGCGGCCACAGAGACTAGGTCGCCTTGGATTCCCTCGCCTCTGACGACCCCAACAGATACCCCCAATCCCAGGCCAGCCGGCCCGGTGCTGGCACGGCCAAAATACTACCTAGCACAGGCCTCCGCTCGAGGCACCCCCAAACTACCTATGTATCCAGCCCCAGAGGGCCTCCATTCCCAGGAAGCCCCTATGTATCCCAACACTGGCAGACATCCAGCACCACCCTCCCAGACCCGCAAGAACGTGAATCTCAGTACTACCTACTCCCCTAAAACTACCTATTTCGTGCTGGCTGGCTTGCCTGCTACCTAGTGCCGACTACTCCCAGGCAAGGCCCCTGCTGCTTATAGCTGGCAGTCTTTGGGGTCCCTGAGAATGTGCTGAGGTCCAGGACCAGGGTATTGGCATCTATTTAAATTGAAAAATAATATATTTATTCCAAAAAGCATTCTAAATGCTGCACCCTAGAATCCCTCCTTCTCTGGCTTGGCACCCAAAGTTCAGGCCCATCACCCCCCCCCCACTTCTGGAGGGGAATGTTCCTGGGCTGGCTGCAGACCTCTGGGTTAGCTTCTGCTTAGTAGGACTGTGGAGATGCTCCCAGCTTCACTATCCTTTCCTCTGGCTCCTGTATCTTGCTGTTCAGCTGTGTTAAATATGTACACCCTGACGTTTCCTGTAATAGCAAATACTGTATATTTGAACAAGATTTTTTTGGTCATTTCTATAGTCTTGGAGTTCATTTGTAGGACAGTGTCTTGACTTGGAAAGGATGTGGTATTGGGGTGACTTTGTAGCATGGTGTGTTGTCTTGAGCTAACTGTAGTGAATGGGGAGGTCCAATGCCTTCCGCAATGCCCTTCATCTCCCGCGTTGTCCTGTATCTCCCTCAGCTCCATCCTGGGGTTCAGGGAAGGCACACTTCCCAGCCCAGCTAACTGTTTTATGTAACAGAAAAATAAAGATGCTTGGTGACAAAAATGTGGACTGCTTTATCCAGAGGGGACGTGAAAGGGGAGGTGAGCATGGCTGGAGGGCAAGAGGCAGTGAGGAAGCAAAAGTGGGGTGGCTGTCCTTGTGACGGTGCAAGTGTTGGGTGCCCATGTATTGGTGTCATGTCTTCTTTTTATGTATTTTATATGTGTATTTGTATGAGTATGTGCTTATTTTTTGTGTATGTATCTGTGTATTTTTTCCTAATTCCACGATTGCGTATATTTTAATGTCCATAATTGGGTGCATGTGTTTCTGTGTGTCCATAATTGCATGCCATTCTGTGCCCACAATAGAGCGTATGCCCTTCCCTGAGTGCATAATTGTGTATGTGCCTTTCTCCGTGTAGAGATGTTTGTCTGGTTTTTGTGTGTGCGCTAACATCTTTTAGATTCCTTGAAAACGGAATCTTCGGTAGATAGGTTATATTCTATGAACTTCCCTAAAAACCTTCATAAATTCCACGAGGAAATTTCAAATCCACCCTTTCCTCTAAGACTGCCAAGTGGGTTTGGAAAGGGGCTTTACCCGGCGACTGATTCCGGATTTTGCAGGCGCGCTGAACCCAGCTCCAGGCTAGGAAATCGGATTTTAAGGCCCCCACCCCGCCTGCAGCCGAGGCGAGGGCGCCCCACGGTCCCACACTGCAGTAGGTGGCGCGGGGAGGGGCTAGGACCGCAGACTCCCGCTGGGTTGCACTGCCAGGGCAGGGGCAGGGGCGTCTGGGTACGGGGAAGAGGCGAGAGGCGGGCGAGGGGTTGTGGTGGCAGCTCAGAGCATCCTGTGTTCTGCCGGTAAGACCTCGTCTCCAGTCTCCTGCCTGGGTTGGGCCCGCTTCTTAGGGCTCTTTTAATAAAACCGGGCCCAAAAGGATCTATAAAACCTGAAGCCCCTAGTCGGGGCGGCCTCAGTGGTAAGATGGCGCCGGTGTAAGAGCTGCCTCCTCTCAGTGATGGGGAAAGGGTCATAAATCCGTTGTTGTTTATGAAAATTTACAACTTTGCAATACAACTTTATGAGTTGTTCGGCCCTTCCATTGGCCGCTGTCGGTCATGTGGATGGGAACCGTGAACATGAACTTTTTTATAATTTCCCTTGCGAGAATAGAGCCGCATTCTTTTGCTCCGCTCCATCCTGCCTGCTTCGGAGCTCGGTCCTCCAGCCCGGCTCGGCTGCGCTTTGTCCGGCAATGGCGAGCGAGGGAAAGCCCAGGCCAAAGCAGGCCTGGTGGCTCCCGCTGGAGGTGGGGCGTGCCCAGTTCCCGGCGCCTTGGCGGCAGCTTTGCAACTCACAACCTGGCTAATTTCCTGCGTCCTCTGGCACCAGGAAGGAGGACAATTCGTCTCTCGGGCTGCCCAAGCGACAGCTGTCAGAGGGGCAGGAGCTTCTGGGAGCCGCCATCTGAAGGTGAGACATGTGGGGAGGAGATAGGAGCAAAGGTGGTGAGGTGACAGCCGGCACCGGCAGCGGTGGAAGAGGGTACCCAGGGAGGCTTTAAGAGGGGCATACTCCCCCTCACCCGTATTCACCCATTCACACTCACCCCATCATACACTACAGCCCAAACACGACACACACACACACACACACACACACACACACACACTCCCTTTCTCTCCCCTCCTTGGCTCGCCTTGGCAGTAAGTGCCCGCCTTCCCTCGGCCCTCCGTGGCACAGTGCCCAGGCACAGGGCAGCAGCCCTTGGGTCTTCTCCCCCCACCCCCAGCGACCCCGTGAAGCCCAAAATGAAGCGGCCTGCACTTTGTGTTCCCCGCTAGCCCCTTGGGTTTGGATTTTGTTTCCATTCATGGCCCAATTTGGTTTTGTTGGATTCTCTAACAAGAGACCATTCTCGACCTGGGAAGGTGGGAAGAGGTGAGGGCAAAGTGCATTAATCCCCTGGCATTTTATTAGCAGCATCACAGTACTTTCTATTCCGTGGGAAGTGGTTTCAGAGAGAAAGATAGAATGGGGAAAACAGACAAAAACTTACTAATTCAGCCAGAGTTCTCCGCTCGTTGCCGGCTTCCCTTCGCCCAGTTTTTCGATGAGAGGTGTCTGAAGCGCTGGGAGAGGTACTAGGTGCGTGGGTGGAATTCTGTGTTGGAGGAGAGGATGGGGTTAATTGGGTGTTACTTGGTGGGAAGTTTCGGTGCAGAGGACGTTAAGGTGTTGGCCAGGGTGGCAGGGGCCCGCAGCTAAGGTTGAAAGAAGGACGAAAATCGAGTCGCGGCGGTAGGGGGACTCCCCCCCCATCCACCTTGGCTCAACGGACTGGCGACCGCAATCCCCACCTCCCGCGAGCGGAGAGAGGACTGTGGAGCTGCCGGGGAGGAAGCGCGGAGGGTGCTGCTGGCGGTGGCTTTGCTTAGCGCGGTGACTCGAACTGTAGCTCGGCCTAGGTGCGCATCAGACCAGATTTGCCCCGGGAACTCCCCGGACAGAGACAAGAAAGGAGCCCGAGGTTTTTTGTTTGTTTTTGGTTTGGGTTGTTGTTTCACCATCTTGAGACAGTATCTTGGTATGCATTAGATAAATAGGAGGGGGCTGTGGATGTTTGGGATGTTCCCCAGTGCTCTGGGTGCGTTCGGGGCGGATAAAGCGGCGTATTTGCATCCTAGGGCCTCTGGCTTCCTGACTGCGGCTGCCGCGGGCCGATTATTTATTGCAACCGCGCTGGCGCTCGCTGCTGCCACGCTGTGGCCGTCGCCGGGACCGGCGCCAGCCGCAGCCCGCCTCTTAACAGCCTGGCGCGACTGCTGTAAGGGCCCCTCAGAGATTTCCAGCAAGCAGGGGAGAGGGGGACGAAAGGGGACCTGGGGAGCGATCACCCAGAGCCTATTTGGCTGGGAAATCTCCCTGCCTCGGCCACCTCTGACCGGAGCTGGACGCTGGTATAGACCGGGTCCTTCCCCCACCCCCACTCCAGCACCATGGAGACTGGTTGCACAGGCCGCCTGGCACGTCACGGCTGCTTCTGTTCAAACTGCGCGTCCCAAGGCGCCCTGGGGGCTCACGCTGGTTTAGGGAACACTCTGGCTTTGGGACTGTGAAATCGGAGAGGCTACCTGTAGTCCTGAGGCCTGTGGGCCTGGCTGCCCTGAGGAGGATTGGCTATGGCAAAGAAGGCCGGCTTTGGCTCCAGGCAAGGGCCTGTGAAGAGCAGAGCACCTGTGCGCTGTGGGCTGTGGCCTGGCTAGCGATCTGGCTGGACTGAGGTGGCCTTCAAGGTCCTACACCTACATAATCCCAGGCCACCTTCCAGGCTGGCGGAGGTGGAGCTGTTCAATGGGCAACCAGGGCAAGGGCAGACAGTGGGGCCCAGCTCGCCATCCTACCCCTCCTTGGAGAGAAACTGAAAGGTAAGTCGCTTTCTGCGTGGCTTTGGCTGAGAAGAGAGAGCCCTGGGTGGCCATTCTCACCATTGCAGGAGAGGGTCTCTGGAAAGTGTGGGGTTCCTATTCTTGCTGGAATGTCTCTCTCTCTCTCTCTCTCTCTCTCTCTCTCTATATATATATATATATATATATATATATATATATATGAGCACCCCTATGTGTGCATATCCGATTGGAAAAATAAATTGGTCAGCTGCCAACATGATATGCACTAACCTTGACTAACATGTAAAGGTTCCAATGTAATGTATATTTTTCCATCTTAGTGCCTACAGAAGCTAGAAATATGTTTTCTGGCTCTTAGCTGAGGAATTAAATTCTCTTGTTAGTTGGAACAATGATTAGATCGAGAATCCTGGTCAAGGCATGACAAATAATAATCATAGTAAATTGGCACCGACCCCAACACTGTGTGGGACACGGAGGAATGCAAAGGAAACCATAAATGTAAACATTGACTGACATCTCCAAAACAGTTGTTTTCCATCTTAAATAATAACTTGCTTAAAATCACTGTTGTCTGATGATTTTGTTTAAGAAAAATAACACAAACATGATTTTCTTCAAACAGCTATTTTTTAAAGTCCCTTTTAATTTTTTGACTCGAGTTTTCATTTTCACCTATTGAATTATTTCCCTGAAGTAATCTGTGGGAAATGTCCAATTCTATCCGCCCAATTCCATCCTCTCATTCGAGGCCCTTCTTTATCTGCACAGGAAACCCTTTCCAGGCTGGACCGACTGGGGAACAGGCACACGGCTTCCAGTGTTGCCCCCACTGCGGGGCTAGTAGCCGCCTTCCAGGAGTGCCTCTTGGGCTCTGTGGAGGTCGACCTTAGGCCAGTCCTTTTCCATTTTTTTCCCTTTGGGGAGGAGAGCTCACCAAAAGAATCAAAAAGCAAGGAAGACTAAGTCATTACAAGATTCCTACCGGAACACTGCCAGTTGCCCCCTCCCCACTAAGTTCTGAACTCAGAGAGCCTACTCCGGCCAGGGTTTTACAGATCTTGTAAACAATCTCCAGAAAGCCATCCAAATCACGTAGTCTTTTTTCAACCTCCACGGAATTGGGGATTTTAAAGCTAATTCAAGGGGTTTTACAAGCCCAACAAACACAGTTGTAAAAATGCCATTGGGCTGCTATCACATTTTACGAAACGAGATTGATCCATGTGCTGTAAAAGTCAACTATCTCGAAGGCACACCTCTAAGGCAAGAGTGAGCAGCCCAGGACAGGCTTTTCCTGTCCTGTCTGGGGACAGCCAGGCCTGGGACAACAGTGAAAGCAATTCAGGATTTCTGGAGCCAGTGAGACAACATTCCCGGTTCTGGAGCCACTGCAGGGCGGCCTGCCCTTTCCCGGTTCTGGAGCCACTGCCCTTCCTGGGACTGCCCTCCGCGGTCCCAGGAAGGGCAGTAAAGAGGGCGGCCCTAGGACAGTGCCGGCTGTCGGGCGCCCCGGAAACCGAGCTCATCAATTATCCCCGCGGCCTTGGGCCCCGCAGAGCTGCCTTCTGTGCCCAGGTTGTCCAGGGACCCTGCGCCTCCTGCGCCTCTGGAATGAGGACGGAGAGATTCACACCTGGATTTTTATCTGCCTCAGCTCTGAGCGGTTCTCCCCGCGGATGCCGAGTCCCCAGGCGCTGGGTAGGGAGCAGGTACCTCGGCTGGCTTAGGAGCCCAGTCTCATGGCCGGCTGCTGCTCTTTCGATTCTTTCTTGTGGAAACGAGTGGTTTCTGGCCTCTCAATTTCCTGGGTTCAAAGGTGGGATGGGGACGCCCAGCTGGAAGGGCTGCTTTGAGACCAGGCAGGCTCGGGTTATTGAGCCCTTTGGGACTCAACCAAGATGTGTATGTGGAGAAGGGAATGGGTGGGAAGAACCTACGTTTGGCTGAGTCCTGGTCAGCTCGAGGTGAGCCTTCAGCTCTGGCCTGCGAGGCCCAGGTCCCTGGTGAGAGTGGAGAAGGAGACACTAAGGGAGTTCACCGATTCCTAAGGCGCAGGAGTGAAGCGCAGGGAGTTCAGGCCTGGTTTTTCAGAGCCCCGGCTCTAGCTTAAGAACTCGCACCCACTAATAGGGGAGCGCTAGGGGAGGGGCGATTCGGGGCTGTGCCTGGAGTGCCCGCCGTCCGGGAGCTAAGCCACCTTTGTCACCGCCCCTCCTGGCGCGGGACCTTCAGGTTTCCTGTTTGGAGGAGGAGGGGCGGGTAACCTGCAAAATTCAATAAAGCAAAAAGGGGAGGAGGAAGAAGGGAGCCTGGTGGGGCCTTTGCGGCGGCCCCAGCGCTAGTGTCCCTACTCTGGCCTGATCTCTTCGCCCCTGAACCGGCCGTGCCCGCCACTGGCGTTCGGGAAGACAGCAGGGCCGGCAGGCTAAGAGCGCCCATTAATCTGCTGGGCGGGCGGCGGGCGGGCGGGCTGGGGGCTGTTTGTAACTTTGCTGCCTCGGTCGCCGCGGTCCCCGGGGAGCGGGCTCCGGCGCTCGCTCCCATTGGCCGCTGCCGCGTCAGCTGGTGCGATTTGCTGCTGTCGCTTTTGGCGTTCGGCCATCCAGAAACAAACCAGTTCGATGACTACTAATAGTTATAGCCAGATGTACTAATACACAACAAATCACAGTCCTGCAGAGGGGCGCGCAAATGAGTTCCTATTTTGTGAATCCCACTTTCCCCGGGAGCCTGCCCAGCGGCCAGGACTCCTTCTTGGGCCAGCTGCCCCTCTACCAGGCCGGCTATGACGCTCTGAGGCCCTTCCCGGCCTCTTATGGGGCGTCCAGCCTCCCGGACAAGACGTACCCCTCACCTTGTTTCTACCAACAGTCCAACTCGGTCCTGGCCTGCAACCGGGCGTCCTACGAGTACGGGGCCTCGTGTTTCTATTCTGATAAGGACCTCAGTGGCGCCTCGCCCTCGGGCAGTGGCAAGCAGAGGGGCCCCGGGGACTACCTGCACTTTTCTCCCGAGCAGCAGTACAAACCCGACAGCAGCAGCGGGCAGGGCAAAGCACTCCATGACGAAGGCACCGACCGGAAGTACACGAGCCCGGTTTACCCTTGGATGCAGCGGATGAACTCCTGCGCGGGTAAGGCACGTCCCAAGACAGTGGAGGGAGAGGGGAAAGGAGGCAGGAAAAGAAAGAAGGAGGAAACAGAGTAGAAAGAGAAATAGAGAGAACGGAGAAAAGAACCAGCAAAGTTTCTTCAGCTTCTTAAAAGAGAAGAAAAAAATCTGTTCCCAATGGGGCAATCAGGCCATGGCAAAGGAAGGGAAGGGCCCCAGTGTCCATGTAAGGTGACACCTTAGGGGAGGATGGGGACACTGCCACAAATGTGAGACCAATGACAGGGACAGCCTGAAGAGAGAGGGAGGCTGGTGGGATCGACCGCCTTGTTCATGCATCCTAGGTACCCTGCTCAGCTTCCCAAGCCAGAGGGCCTTCTGCACCGCATCACTGATAAATAAATACCCTTTGCTTCCCAATCCCCTCTCCTTTTAGCCCCTCAGAAACACATACAAAGAGAGATGGCCATTTGGCCTCTTCCACTGTCTCCCCAAAGCCTTGGAAGGCCACAGCCCCAGACTCAGGATTTTTTCTCTCTCTCCACCCTCCTCCCTCCTCCCTCTTCCACTCAACTGCTCACTCTTAGCCAAGTTCTGCCTTCTTCTGAGCCCATGCCTGAGCTTCATACACCTGTATTGGAGGGACCCCCACCACCCTTGGGCATCTTTGACACCAGATCAGACAGTCACATAATCCTACATTGCCCGAAATCCTAGACTACCTATAGCTCCATCTCTTAGACTCTGGTTTCCAAAGACTTCACAGGAAATCCCAAAGACTCCTAGGAATTCCCTATGACAGAGCCTAACGCAGATTGTTAAAATTACAATGTTTTGCGTTAAAATCCACTTTATCCCTGGCGGATTTTTGCATTTCTCAGAAGGGTCATATAATTTGGGAGAATGTGTAAAGATTTGAGAGGGCTGACCATTTTTAACTTTCCAAAAAATGTGTTGAGTTCTGACATGGCTGGTCACAGTAGCATCCTGAGAGACCACTATGAATTCAGAGTATGTACACTACTTACAGGGTTCCACACCACCCACCCCCAGACACACCCACACACACACCCTGCATCCTCACAAAAACACGACTTGGGTGTCCCAAATTAAGAATTCCCATTCTATTTTGCTTATAATGGTTTTCCTATGAGGCAGAGTTTTCAAAAACAATAAAGTCCAACCTCAAGTCGTTTTAGGTGGAAAACCTCTCGCTTGGTGTGAAATTATCTCCCACCCAGTCTGCTTTGGGCCCCAGATATAGTGGGAGAGGCTGGAATGGACGCGGGGTGGTTTCCAGGCAGGAGGCCCCTTGTGGGAGGCACTGGGCTGACTGGGTCGGTTGTCCAGACCCTGGCTTACCGGCGCCCGGCCATTTCTGCCCGCAGGTGCTGTGTACGGGAGCCATGGTCGCCGAGGCCGCCAGACCTACACGCGCTACCAGACGCTGGAGCTGGAGAAGGAGTTCCACTTCAACCGCTACCTGACGCGGCGCCGCCGCATCGAGATCGCCAATGCGCTCTGCCTCACCGAGCGCCAGATCAAGATCTGGTTCCAGAACCGCCGCATGAAGTGGAAAAAGGAAAATAAGCTCATCAATTCTACGCAGCCCAGCGGGGAGGACTCAGAGGCAAAGGCGGGGCAGTAGACCCCTGGGCAGGGACCAGGCCAGCGCTGCAACCTCCTTCGGCTTTGCCCTCTTTCCCTCGCCTGCTCCCCAACTTTTCTCTCCGCCTGCTCCCATCTGGGGGCTTCTGCAGCTTCAGGGGAGCCCGCAGCTTTGCAAGCGTCTGTGCATTTATTTCTTACAAAACAAAACCTCACACACAGCCAATACCAGCGGTGGAGCGGGGCGCACTGCACACACACAGTCCCGCTCCACAAGGCTGCCCAAACCCGAGCCGGAGCTCCGGGGTGCGCCCTGAATGCGTCCGGGGCTCCTGTGCTAGTGCCTCTGCGCTCCCCGACCTAGGGACACGGGGCTACTAGGGAGGAAAGAGCCCTGGGCCGAGTCCCGTTTCTTGTCTGGGCGTCTCTGCCTAGGTCCCTCGCCAGGAGGTCCCGAAGGGCATCATCAAATCATCTCTGGCCGGTGGAAAGAGGGGGTCTAAGTGCTGGGTCCTGGCGTTGTCTCGGCCTCCCAGGGCGCCTCCCAGAACAGGAAGCTGGAGGAACAAAGGGGGCCCCAACAGAGCCCAGTCTCTCGGCCCTGCTTGCGCAACCGTCAGTGGAAGAGAAGCTGCCCCAGACGAGGCGAGCTAACCTGGGCGCGAGTGGAACAGTACAGTCCGGGGACCGTCTGGGCTCCCTCAGGCTCCCGGCTCCGGATTCCCGCTCCCTCCCTCGGATAGCGCCCGCGTGGCCACCACAGCAGCGTTCAGACCCAACGAGGGGCCCGGGGCCATGGGAGCCTCCAGAGTCCTGGCTTCCAGAGGTACCAGGGGCGCCTGCAACACCGGGCCTCCAGCGGGGAGACTCCGCTTGCCTCTCAGCTGTATTTGTGATTTACTTGCGTCTTTCGGAGCCCTGGAAAATAACTACGGAGATACTAGGCACTGCCACGAAATGCTTCCATTATCGCCCTCATTTCACTCCTGGAGGTCTAAGCAAGACCCCAGTAACCCGGCCCGCGGATCCTCAGACCCTAAGCAGCCTCTGTGGCTGCAAGGAGCCTGGGCCCACTCGCTGAGTTCAACGAGAACCCTCCAACTTGGGGCCCGGCTGGCTCGAGGAACCAGACCCTGTGATGAAGGCTTTCCAAGCTGGATACGTAAGCAAATCAAATAGCAAACTAATGACATGAAAACCATACTCACACGAAAGAAAAATCAACTACGGTTATAAAATTGTATGGAATTTGACCTCGCTTTGGAGAAACACTACACAAAAGCTATCTTTAATAGACGCCTGTCATTTAAGAGCGGCAGGGACACTGTCCCTCATGCGCTAGCAAAAACAGAGCCGTAATTGTAGCTGCTGCTGCTGCTGCTGCTGCGGGCAGGATTTATTTCTCCAATTGGCTAAATGGCTTTCCCCCTTCCCCAAAGGTGGTATCTGTATTTTCAAAATTCAGAGCTGCCGGCAGGACGGGCAGAGTCGACCCCAACCTCGACACAAAAATAAGAGGGGCTGCAAAACGGGGGAAATAAAGTTGTTGTAAATAAAATGCAGGTCACCACCTCCCCCCAATCCTCTGTATCCTCGCCCGGCGCGCGATCGGCAGCTGACGGCCTAACAATTGGTACATCCTAATGGAACTGCGAGGGAAATGCAATAATTTTGCCATAATGGGCTGTAACCTCAATTCGACCCCAGCCCTTGCAACCCCGGGTCGGAAGCGGGGCGATGCGCCCTGACTCCAGCGGGTGGCGCTCGAGTCCGACTGAACGGCGGCAACGAGCAGCGGGCACGCGCCCGGGGCACGCGCGCCAACCCTCTCGCCTCCACCCAACTCCCCCATTAGTGCACGAGTTTACCTCTAGAGGTCATCAGGCAGGATTTACGACTGGACAACAAAAGCACGTGATTCGAAGTCGTACCCCATATTTGGGTGCCTACGTAGGAGGGAACCAAGTACATGTCCCAGTCATTTCCATAATTCATCATAAATTGTGCAAGGGTGCTATAGACGCACAAACGACCGCGAGCCACAAATCAAGCACACATATCAAAAAACAAATGAGCTCTTATTTTGTAAACTCATTTTGCGGTCGCTATCCAAATGGCCCGGACTACCAGTTGCATAATTATGGAGATCATAGTTCCGTGAGCGAGCAATTCAGGGACTCGGCGAGCATGCACTCCGGCAGGTACGGCTACGGCTACAATGGCATGGATCTCAGCGTCGGCCGCTCGGGGTCCGGCCACTTTGGCTCCGGAGAGCGCGCCCGCAGCTACGCGGCCGGCGCCAGCGCGGCGCCCGCCGAGCCCAGGTACAGCCAGCCGGCCACGTCCACGCACTCGCCTCCGCCTGACCCGCTGCCCTGCTCCGCCGTGGCCCCCTCGCCCGGCGGCGACAGCCACCACGGCGGGAAAAACTCCCTGGGCAACTCCAGCGGCGCCTCGGCCAACGCCGGCAGCACCCACATCAGCAGCAGAGAGGGGGTTGGCACGGCGTCCGGAGCAGAGGAGGACGCCCCTGCCAGCAGCGAGCAGGCGAGTGCGCAGAGCGAGCCGAGCCCGGCGCCGCCCGCCCAACCCCAGATCTACCCCTGGATGCGCAAGCTGCACATAAGTCATGGTAAAGCCAGCCTTTTTCTAAATCCACGCTACCGTGGGGGACGCGGCTCTCGATCCCCTCTCTTTCCTCTGCCACCCTCTCCCAGTCTCTCTTCTGGTCTCATTTCTCCCAGCCCTGCGGAGCCTCTCTTTGCCATTCTCCTTCTCCTGCCTTCCTCCTTCCTCCTCTTCCTTGCAAACACTCCGCGCTCATAAATAATGGGGGAATCGGGCGCTGGCTGGGCCAGTTTAGGCACTGAAAGGGGAAGGAAGAAAAAAAAAAAAAACCCTCTGAACCCCACGCTGTGGAACGCGCTCCTGGGTCAGGCCAGCCGAGCAAGGCACAGAGAGGTAGAGGATGGCAGTAGGAGCCGTGAATCGGGCTTGTCAGGGCGGATGATTTATGAAGGGGGCTACGCTGGGGAAACAGCGTTACTAATTAGAGCCCCGGAAAAGGGGCTTGGGGGGAAAAATCGAGGCGAGAGCCGGCAGGATTCTGAAGTTTGGGGGCAGTAGGGAGAGAGAAGGAAAGGGAAGAAAAAGAAAGCAGGCGCCCCAAGCCTGCAGGCTGTAAACTGGAGGCGGCTTGAGGGACTGGAACTTTGAGGGAGGGTGACCCGAAGGCCACTTGGGCGCTCAGGAAAGGGTCGTGCTTCCTGGGCTTCGGAGCGGTGGGCAGCCTGGGAGAGCTGTGCCTCCCAGTCGGGGCGCCCGGGGCAGGGTGGAGAGGGCAGGAGTGAGGCCAGGGAAAGCCGGAGTCCTCCGGACATGGCCCCAGCCTCAGATGGGCGGATTGTTCCCAGGGTCCAAATTGTATTGTTTTCTCTCTAGAAAGGAAGAGGGAAGGAAATTCGGGAGGGGTGTGCGGGCTGGTATGGAGAACTTGTTGAGCCTTTCGCCTGGGTTCCCTATTCAGGACGCAAGCTTGTCCCCCTGGCGGACTTTGGAAGCCAGGGGGTGAGGAGTTGGTGGCTAAACCGCTGACTTTTCTGTTGCAGACAACATAGGCGGCCCGGAAGGCAAAAGGGCCCGGACGGCCTACACGCGCTACCAGACCCTGGAGCTAGAGAAGGAGTTCCACTTCAACCGCTACCTGACCCGCCGAAGAAGGATTGAAATAGCACATGCTCTTTGCCTCTCCGAGAGACAAATTAAAATCTGGTTCCAAAACCGGAGAATGAAGTGGAAAAAAGATAATAAGCTGAAAAGCATGAGCATGGCCGCGGCAGGAGGGGCCTTCCGCCCCTGAATATCTGAGCGTTTAAAGTACTGAGCAGTATTAGCGGATCCCGCATAGTGTCAGTACAAAGGTGACTTTCTGAAACTCCCTTGTGTTCCTTCTGTGAAGAAGCCCTGTTCTCGTTGCCCTAATTCATCTTTTAATCATGAGCCTGTTTATTGCCATTATAGCGCCTGTATAAGTAGATCTGCTTTCTGTTCATCTCTTTGTCCTGAATGGCTTTGTCTTGAAAAAAAAAAAAATAGATGTTTTAACTTATTTATATGAAGCAAGCTGTGTTACTTGAAGTAACTATAACAAAAAAAAAGAGAAAAAAACACACAAAAATTCCCCCTTCAATCTCGTTTAGTGCCAATGTTGTGTGTTGCACTCAAGTTGTTTAACTGTGCATGTGCGTGGAAGTGTTCCTGTCTCAATAGCTCCAAGCTGTTAAAGATATTTTTATTCAAACTACCTATATTCCTTGTGTAATTAATGCTGTTGTAGAGGTGACTTGATGAGACACGACTTGTTCAACATGTAGTGACTAGTGACTGTGACGAAAACTGTGACTCCAAGCGGTGTGTCCCTGCGTGCCTTTGTAGGACCCTTTGCACGAACTCTGGAAGTGGCTCTTATAAGCGCAGCTTCAGTGATGTATGTTTTTGTGAACAAAGTTACAAATATTGTCCAAGTCTGGCTGTTTTAAGCAAACTGTGATCAGCTTTTTGTTTTGTTTTGTTTTTTGGTATTTGTTTTTAAGGAAAAAATACTGACTGGAACAAAAAATAAACTTTCTATTGTAAGTTCTCTTGGTCTGGTTTGTGCCAAATAGTGAGTGGCTCTGTCTGCTTTTCTGTCTGTCTGTTCAGTCCTGGAAGCCCGTAGGTCTGAGGCTACCTGAGCAGATGACCTGTGCAGGGAGACCTCAGACCAACACTGGCCCATCGCCTTCCTAACTCTGACCCATCACAAAGTTCAGGGCAGAAGGTGGGAAAAGCTGCAGGCGGTTCCAAAGCCCGAGGCCACCCTGACCATCTCTGAGGAAACCAAGTTAACTTGCTGGGTACAAAACAGAGAGACAGAGTGAGAAAGAAGGAGGAAAAGCCCAGGGCTTTGTTAGCTGCCCTCGGGCCACACAGACCCTGCCTCTTTCCTAAGGCTGTCCTAGGCCTCCACTTGCTGGAGACGCTGCTCTGCCTGGCTGTGGTCCCCAAACCCTCTGCCCTTAACCCGTCCCAGCACCCCTTCCCCACTCTTCACCCTGGACCCAGTTGGCTTCTTTTGCTACAATTAATTTGCTACAAATGGAAGGTACTTACCCCATCCTAGCTCGATTGGGAAACTCCTCAGAGCAGCTAAAGCGCAACTAGAGATTTGCACATTTACCGACTGCTTACACTGATGCCGTCTTTCCTTTTAAAAGTTATAAAACAGTAAACTTTATAAGCCCCAGTTCCGGCTATATGACATTTGGGTGCCAAATGAATAGGGTTTTGTCTATGAATTAGATCGTAAAATCATCCATAGCACAGACAGATCGGCTCACTGGCTATAAAACGTCACGTGGGGCCATTAAAGTAAGTTTTATGGTTTTGGGGAGTTGACATCCAACATTATATACCACATAACATATAATCTCACTAACGCTGGACTCCATTTGACTCTTTTGCAGGCTACGTGTGCTGCCTGGCCATTCAAACTGTCAATTTTAGGTCCAGAAGTGTCCAAACCACAAGTTCTCAAAACTCTCTGAAAAATGGCTCCCTCCGAGTTAAGGTAAGCTCGCCTTTTGAGCGCTTTCAAGTTTATTTGTACTTTGGAAAGTTTCTTCCTTGCTCTCTTTCTCTCTGGTTCAATAACTCTGATGCTGCCTCTGAATTCGAAAAGGCAGAGCAAACTTTCCCCCTGCCCAAGAGAGCAGCGCCAGGAGCCAGCTCTGCGGAGGCAGGAGGGTGAGCAGCGCCTGTGACCGCGCCGCATCCTTGGGCCTAACTTTAATTGCTGCACAACCGCGGATGTTAATGACTTCCGCTGCTCCCGCCGGCGTGCAAAAAGATGATTTTTGTGTGCGAATGGGCCTGTGTGGGGGGACCGGGCAGGGCCGCAGCCCCAGCCCTCCGCTCAATTGCTGGGCTGGCCGGGCCGGCTTCTGGGGGTCACGGAGCCTTGAGGTGGGGGCTGGGAGACAGTGGAGCGCCGGCCGCGGGCGCCGAGGGCCGCGCTGCGCTCAGGAGTTTGAAAGAAAGGCCCGGGCAGGGCCGAGGAGGACTCTGGCGGGATTCCTTTCGGGGCTGTGGCAATATGTCTTCGGGGCCGGGGTCTTTAGCAGGGCTGAACTAAGGCGGCGGCCTTCGGGGTTTCAGCCTGGCTCGCGAGAGCCGAAGTGTGGCAGAGGCCGGCAAGGCGGAGGCTGTACCTTCAGGCTGGGCCCCTGGGTTGCGAGGTGGAGCTTGGGCTGCTGGCGCCCACCGGACCCTGGGGACCAAGGGTCCCCACCCTGGTGGGGGGTGCTCAGCACCTCCTCCCCCGCACCCGGGACCAGGCCCTGAACCCTTTTTGCCTGCACGTTCTTTTTATTTCGGTGGGACTGTTGTCACCTGCCTGTGAGTCTCAAGCAATAAACTTTATGGCCGGATTTAACTTTAGTCTTTGAATCCTCAGGCTAATTGAAAGGGGTTAAAGCGCTTTCTTTTCTTCCGCCTTGCCTTTCTTCTCCCTCTCTTCTTTCCTTTTCCTCTCCTTCTTTGTAGAATTAAAACATCTACGCACAGAACCCTCAAAAGGCAACTTAGGCGGCCCCCTAGATGATACTGAAGATTGGAGCAATTCACTCCCCCTCAACATACAGGCGAATTCTCTATTCCAAACTGTGCTCTAAAGTTTGGGGGGAAATTGAGGTGTTTTCAATGCCCAACTTAAAAATCCCCAGAGCCATTAGGTTGTTTTTCCTGACACATCATAAACGGTAGTTTAGGGAAGAAATTGGTCCTTTGTCAGTAGGAGATTTCCGCCTTTCTTTTGTTAGCTGCTCTTTCCGTTTGATCCCAGGAAATTTACATAATCTATGATTTCCAGAACAGTCTCCACAATTGCACCAATGCGTGAAGTAAGGTGAAATAAGTTTATCCTGGGTACAGTTCCATATTGGCCCCAGTCACCCCTTCTGGCTCCAATCCTCCATATTCTTCAATGGCAAAACCCAAGCCCAGTAGTTGGGGACTGTGTGGCCTGTCCTGGGATCTTTTTCTGGATGGGTACCCACAAGGGACTCAGTATATTTCCCCCAATCCTGTTTTAGGAATTAAGCCAAATTCTACTGCATTCAGAAATGAAACAAAAAATAGGATCTGCTTTTCTCCTTAAGAGCTGGGCAGTTTTTGGCAAGTATTAATTGGTAAAGATACCTATTAAGTGCTTAAAGTGAAAACACTGAAAGTGTAGATTTGAAATTTCAATAAAGTTTCTTGTGCAGAGGCCACCTACACTCAACGTAAGTCCAACAGATGTCCCCAAAGTCAGAGGTCCAGAAAGCAAAACCTAGAAAGTTTTTTTTTTTTTTAAAAAATCGAAACCCTCCCACAAGCCCTACTTCTCATGAATTGTGGCAAGGTAAAAAATCCTGAAGTAATTGTGTGTAATCTATTAAAGTGGACATTGGTATTTCAGCAGTCAAGAAGAGGTGTCCACATCTTAGTGGGAACAAGAATATAAACTCTACATGGGTATGAGCTCTCTTTTATAATGTTATGTGTCGGTGAGAATACTGGATTCTTTGTTTTGCTGCTCTGAATTTTTGGCTCCTTATTGGAAAATATTGGGTTATGGTTCAATTTTAGTTACTCATTTGGTGATCTTGCTTGAGTGATTTCTTGGTGAGTGAAATTAGAAGCAAAAAAGAGAGAGAGAGAGAGAGAGAGTGACAGATTCTGACAGTTTAGTTGGAGTAACTCACACAGAAAGTGTCCACACTACCTTCATGGCTATATTCCACCTTGGGGTGTGGGAATGAGCAGAAAGTCTGTTGAAGTCATATCCAGCACCACATAACATAGAGAATGTTTCCAAGGAATGAGAAAAATTACAGGCTGTAAATATTGTCAGCTTGCTTATTTCTGTCTGTTTTAATCTTCACAAAACTTAAGTAGAATTTAAAGGAGCAGGACAACCCACATGGCCACATGGAATTAAATGACTTTTCAAAAATACAGCATGCAGTCAGACCTATGTATTATTGGAGGGTTTTTTTTCTTTCTTCCTATTTTCACAGGAAGCATAATAAAGAGGATGGCTGGTTTTCTACTCATTCTGTAGATAAGTTATTTCTTTTGTGGATTCTTTTGGGTTGTTCTTGCAGAGGAACTTACCAAGAAAAAATATTTCTGTCACTGAGGGCTTTATGAAGACATCCAGCCTCGGCCAGTGGCAGAAGTGTGTCTGTGCTTCTCCTTGGCAGCAATGTGCAGGGGCTCATTTGTTTCCACAAGCTGAAGAGACAATATTCCTGAACTATAAATACAACAGGAAGCTTCTGGTCACACTACTTACGGGTTTGTTAGGATTTCCATGGTCTAATTTCACAACATTATGCCAGGATTCCTTTTCTCCTGCTCTTTCCCCTGCTTTATTGTTGGCGGCTCTGGAGAGCAAGGCAGATTTTCCTACCAAAAACAGAGTCCCGTTCATTTGTTGAGATTCTGAGAGTATTATATCCAAATAATTAGTGAGCGGAAAGCAAATCACATCTTAAAAGATGGGAAATTAAGGAGGAAAACAATCCCTTTAACTTAAAAGATGCCCTTCTCAGCCTCTCCCCTGCCTTGGCTGGGGGTCTGTCCATGGCTTGCCCACCATGGAGAGTGTAGAGCATTATGGGCTCCATCCCTTTGGTTTCTGAGAGGAATTTCCTTCTAGTCAATGGCAAAACTATAAACGGGGCTCCCAGGCAGGGCTGAGGGGGTCAGCCTAAGCTCCCACCCACATAGGGGAGGGGATCCCATTCTAAGCCTCAGAACTTGAAGGTCTGCCCAGGTTTTGTTTGGTGTTTTTCACAAATAAATTTGTTCTTTTCCTACCAGGTCCCCTCCCCACAAACCAGTCTTTTCAATAATAATATTTGTTATGAAGGTTATTAGATAATTATTGCAATTTTGTGAAGCAGCCCTTGCTGGAGGTGAAGTCTGTCATCGCCTAACAAATGACGCCCCCGCAGTTCACTGCCGGGTTAAGTAAATGCAGAGAAGATAAATCTGCACACCCTAGGAATCACCAGCAGAGCACGCTTTAGTACAAGTTCACAGTCAACTCACCCGCCTGGGCCAGCTCTCCCAACAATTAAGGCTACGTCTTTAGTTTTAAATAAAGGGAAAAAATGTCTCTACCTCCCATTGCCCGCTTTCCCCCATCTTCTCTTTTCTTTCGCTTTTTGCAAGGTTCTCCCCTTCTGCTCCAAAATTTCCTTGTAAAATAGAACTATGAGTGATTTCAAGTTAATTTAGTTCCTAGGTGCTGAGAAAAAGAGGTCGTAGGCTGATTTAACAGGATATACAGTCACAAATACACAAAACATCCATTTCACCCTCTAATTTCAAATGGCAGTGGCAGAAGCAGGGCATCCTGAGATGCTAGGGGGCCTCTTCCCCCTGAAAGAAGAGGCTCAGCTTTGTGTATCTTTGTGGTTACTGCGTTACAACTGCAGGTCAAAAAGTTGAGGGTCAAAAGTTTACATTGTGCAGCGCTCTTAGTCATCTGCCCAGACAGAGTTTGATGTCAATGTTAGAGCTGTGATCTTGACTATCAGCACAAAAGATAAAATGTCTCGGAGTGACGTGTGTATCACGGTATGGACTCCAGGTGAACCCTAGTGGTTGAATGACCTCAATTACGGAGGAAAGGATAGAAAATTCCTCTTTTCAAGAGTAATACATGCTGTATTTCATCTTGAATTATTGCTTCCATTCTGAAGGAATAGCAGCAGGTAAATAGGCATAGATTACTGAAACACCAACACCTTAGGTGTTGGAGAACCAGGAGTCTGTGGCTTTGTTACAAAATAAAAATGCTCAAAACTTATCTGTGGAGCTTTAAAAAGTAATGTTGCAAGTTTCCAATATTTCATTATGCCTTCAAAGGCAACAGAATGGTTCAGGAAACCTTTGTTTGAAAAGAGAGATTTTGATTGGCCAGTTTTTTGTCTTTTTAGTACATATGATGACCCCTAAAGTGTGTAAGAACAAATGCAAACACAGGCACTTCTTGCAAAATGTAATCTTTGCGGTTTTCAAATAGAATATGCTTCTTCTGAAACTACAGTTCGCTGAATGCAAAGGGTTCCAAGATCTGGGAAGGGGAAGGAAGGAAGTGAAAGCCCTCCTGAAAACAGAAGATTCCTCCCTTCCCCCCTCCGCCACCACCATCAGTGACAAAATGCTTATTGGTGCCATAAAAACGTTCCTGTTTGGAAATTTTTGTTATGTTTACTATTAAACCACAATTGAATGTAAGAGAAATGCTACAAGCTATAAGTGAAAAACTAGACTGTAGGGAATGCAGAAAGGTGTAATTCACAAATACCAGGCCACTTTGTAAGACCACCACACAGAATATTTTCTATTCTTCAGAAAGTGCTTTTAAATAATGCTCTTGGAATTAAAAAAAAAAAAAAAAAAGCCAAGGAGAAGGGAAAGCAACCAAGGTGAAGGGTGGGAGAGCAGAAAATAAAGGGAATAGCGTATTAAGGAAGCCGACTGGAACCGTGCCTCATGTGTGAGTTGCAACTGAAGAGCTAAACAATATTTTATTTTTCAAACATCTAGAAAGGCTTTAAGTGTTGGTGCTGTAAGAATCTATTTTCCAGGGGACATATTTCCTTTATCTGTGAATTGACCTTCAAGGGATCAGTTTAGGAAAACAAAGAAGAGAAAGGTGAAATATTTTCCCTAGGTTTTTCTTTTTTAACTTTGGAGATAATTCAACTACTCAGAATGTAGCCTCTTGCAGGAATGTTTAAGATCATCCCAATATATTTTGGTTGATTGGATTTAACAGTGCCAGGTATGTTCAGTGGCAAAGTAAATATTTCCCAAACACTGCCTTCATGGAAGTAATCACGGTGCTTCTGTGCAATGTGTAAAGTGTTCACTCTGGCCAAGAGTTAGAAGCCAAATGGGGATTTGCCAGATGAAACAGAAGAAAGGAAACAACTGTGGTGCTTGCTGTTGCAGCAGTGAACATTTCACCACATTCGGGCTAGTTAGATGAAGAAAATCAAAACCCCCTCTAGGACTCACCAAGACAATTATTTGTCTCTTTGGGAAAACTTTTTATTGTGCGTTTTGGTTAAAAACACGTGACACATCTTAGAACATAGAAAATCTATGGTTTTTGAACATATCAGCTTCAAAAACCATAGATATCTCTTAGCTAGTCTTTAAAGTAAAAGAAAAGGGTACTTGCAGAAGTTATTGCTTTTAGAGTGCTTGTTTCTTTATTTGGAGGATTTTGACTCTTGGGCCTGTCAAACAAACACAGTTGAAATTCATGTGTAATCCCAATATGAATGTCAGTCCTCATCCCTGGGTTGTGTGCATTATTTTAAACTACTACAGGGAAATTTCCCTCAAACAATTAATTGGTCAAATGGCTGGTAAAGTGTTGCGCCTCTCAAATCTCGTGTCTAGTGTTGGTGGTGGGGAAGTCCTCAAATGCACTTTGAAATTCTGCCATTCCGCTGTTCAGCTCGAGACTGACATCCGATAGAGAAGTCTGGGGTACTCTCGCTCTAAAGAACAAAGGACAAATACAGTCAATACATTCCATAATGTTTACATTTCCTTTGCCTTTTCCCCTTGGTTTTTCCTGAGAAGGAGTGACCTGGGCAAAGCACCCTGCTCGCTAAAAGACACTGTATAGACCTTTTAGAAGTGCAAAGTCCAAGGCCGAGGTGAACTTCAGGTCAGTGCGTCTAACAAATATGAAAATGTCGGCTGGTGAAGGGCGCGCCTTGTGATTTAACAAAGACTGTCAATGTGTAAGATTAATAAGAAACAAAATGCACACGGTGTCACTGTTCGGTCACTTTGAAACTTGGGACAGGGTTGCATTCAAGAGGGAAGGCTGTTACAAATATATTCAAAATGATTCAAATCAGATTCAAGCCAAGCTGCAAAACACTGCCTACCTCTCACCCTCCCTCTCCCTCCGACTCCCTTCACTCTTCTTTTCCATCTGGGATTCGAGGACAGGAAGAAAAGTTATTTCGTCTAATGGGATTTTAAGAAAGCTTTTGTTGGGAATATATGTTATGCCTGCACGTGGAAATGAGCAAATGTGCTTACCAGTTTCCTAAGGAAAGGATAACGCTTTCACCCCAATTGAGACTGGAACCAGTTGGCATGCGAAGATTAGCATGCTCCCTCTCTGCTACATTTCAGGGCATCCCACCTTTTCTCGAGCAAGATGCTGCTGGTAAACTTCAGTTTGTTTATTAATTGAAGTTAGTTTCTTCCTGGCTTTACTTTGGTGTCTTGGATATTGTGTAAAGGCAAGGGGTATTTTTGAAAAAAATGTTTTTCAAAAGATTATTTGATTCAATGGAATGATGCTACGGTTTGCAAAGGGAGATTGAAGAAGGTTCAGAAAAGGTACTGAGATTGTTTATTACAGCCATAAATCTTGCAGTAAAATGTCAAAATGTCGGTGTGTGAGATAACACTTGGTGGTCCTGGCTCCATTTGTGTTTATGATACGAACCACAAAGACAAGTTACAGGCCTTGGGGGATTCTGTGTAAGCCCATCTTCCTAAAGTAATAGAACCACACAAAACACAGGCGCAGTTAATTCCTTAGGGTTGACCATATACAAAACAGTGCCTATGTCTCGTTAATACTTAAAAACAGAAACTTGGTAGACGGTTCTGAGGCTAAACAACATGAATTTTGTGGTTTAGTGTCTGTAAATATTAAACAGACATGGTTAAGACCCTAGTACTCAAGGCTAATAACATGAAGAGGAGGAAGGAAGGTTTCCTTGTCATGCTTTTTGTTCCCCCTGAAGCTTGGAGGGTTCAGCTTTGTAATACATATTATGTATGTACATATTATTTATATTACATAGTACATAATCTATGTGTATATCATTTTTTCCTACTAGGGAGAGATATTGGTTCAGGTAGATGTATCACAGGCTAATTTATTCCTTAAGTCTAGAGAATATGGCTAAGGATTACACTCAGTGTTGATTTCTGTCTGTGGCTCAGATTTCATTAAAAACAAATTTTCAGGGTGTCTCATGTGAATGGACAGCACTCTTCACACACATATACACCCACTGTGGAAAATCTCTTTGTACCACTTCAGGGTGATTCCAGTTAGAAAGCTAATATGATCCCCTTTTAAACCTCTTTTCCTAAATTAGTTTAAAGATTAGTCTCATATAATAGGCTTTATGTGGCTAAGCATTAAATGACTATCCATCAAATGGCTATATTCCAGCATTTAGTAACTCATATGAATAACCGATATAAATGAAGATAGAATTGACATTCCTTTTGAAGTGTCTCCAGGCTTAGGATATAATTTTCCTTGTCTGCATTCCAGACTCAGTTGTGAGAAGGCTGTTTATACTGCTCTTTGAAAAATTAACTAAGGTGCACCAGCTGAAAAATCCTTGCTTTTGCATGCCAATATGAAAATATTTTTAGAATGGTGACTATGCTAGTTTGCACTGCTTTAATCCAGGCTGAAAAGTAGACGATCTAGATATGTCTGTTACTCAGAAAAGAAAGGAGGAAAGTACACAGTACAAACAAGGTATCAGTATTTACTTCAAAGATCAACATTAGGTGGAATTAATAAGTAATTTATTTGTTAATAATGGCATAATTAGTGTACCCATCAAATTTCAATTACCAAATGGCAGGCAACAGTCTCCCCTCCTTCCTTTCCGGAGCTTCTGATATCGTTAATATGCTAATTTTCAGCAATTCAGAAATTATACACTGTCTTGTAAATATAACTCTAGCCTCAGATACAGCCTGAGAAAGCAGGATCCAAAAGAGAAAATATAAAACTCTTAGCTGGAAAAGACCTATCAGCGATCAGACCAGGCAAGGTGTTTATTCTACCTTTAGCTTGTTTTTGTTTGGGGATTGTTCTGAAATAGGAAGTTATTGTTTTCAAAGCTCTGTTCTGTGGAGGTGTTGCTTCTATCCATTCCCATCCTTGGGCCACCTTCTCTCTCATAATCGCACCTAGTAAACGCGGGCTTATTTAGCTCCGACATCGGCAACCCCAGTCAAATAAGATGCTATTACGAAGGTTCCAATTATTCTAAGGAAAAAACGAAACAGATTGTCCCTCAAAGAAGGAAAAAATGAAAAGTGCCCATCCAGTTATAATGGAATGGCCTCGCTTTACATCCTAGGGTCGATTTCTCTCAGCTGCCCGCCCACTCACCCTTTGCAGCTTCTTCCAGCTTCTCAAAGCAAGGGCTCCCAGGCCGACAAGCAAGGAGCTGGGGGTAGGGAAGGGAGACCTGCGGTTCAGAAAATGAGTCTGGTGGCCTCTCTGGGCCCACATAAAAACCAGGATGCCCCTCGGTCCCAACGCCCTTCCTTCCCCCAGTTAGCCTAGAACCCCTGAAGTACGCGAAGCCTGACTGGGTTGGGCCCCAGGTCAGCGCTGAGTTGCGGTCGCCAGACTGCCCGAGGCCTAGGCCAGCAGTAGGGCAGGCAGAGGGCTCCCGAGAGGATCTACAGCCCGGCAGGGCCCGAATTCCCAGCGGGAATCAAAGTTGGGGGGCTGGGGTCCAAAGCGCCTGCTCCCTCCCCCAGCCCAGGGGCCGGACAGCAGCATCCATCACGAACCCGCGCGTTTCCTGATCCGGGTCCGCTCGCGCGGTGCGCCCATTGGTGGGGGCGCTGCACGTGGGGCACGGGGCGGGGCGCGCGCCGGGCTGGGGAGGAGCGGCTGGAACTTTGGTGGCGGCTTCGGCGGGAGGGGGAGGGGTGAACACTTGACAGCGGGGGGAGGGGAAGGGCGCAGAGGAAAGGGGGATGGGAAGCGAGGCAGGAGGGGGAGGGGCCTCGGCGAGCCCAGAAAAAACGACAACGCGAGAAAAATTAGTATTTTTGCACTTCACAAATTAATGACCATGAGCTCGTTTTTGATAAACTCCAACTACATCGAGCCCAAGTTCCCTCCCTTCGAGGAGTACGCGCAGCACAGCGGCCCGGGCGGCGGAGACGGCGGCCCGGGCGGGGGCCCCGGCTACCAGCAGCCCCCGGCGCCCCAGACCCAGCACCTGCCGCCGCAGCAGCCCCAGCTCCCTCACGCGGGCGGCGGCCGAGAGCCCTCTGCCTCCTACTACGCGCCGCGGGCCGCGCGCGAACCCGCCTACCCGGCCGCCGCGCTCTACCCCGCTCACCGGGCGGCGGACACCGCCTACCCCTATGGCTACCGCGGCAGCGGCAGCGCCAGCCCCGGGCGACCACCCCAGCCGGAGCAGCCCCCGGCGCACGCCAAGGGCCCAGCGCACGGCCTGCATACGAGCCACGTCCTGCAGCCCCAGCCGCCGCCGCCCCCGCAGCCTCGCGCGGCGCCCCCCGCGGCTCCGCGACGCTGCGAGGCGGCCCCCGCCACCCCAGGCGTCCCAGCAGGGGGCAGCGCCCCCGCGTGCCCGCTGCTCTTGGCCGACAAGAGCCCGCTGGGCCTGAAGGGCAGGGAGCCCGTGGTGTACCCCTGGATGAAGAAGATCCATGTCAGCGCCGGTACGTGGCGCCGCTGGGGAGGCACGGGAGGCGGGCCTGGGTTCGAGGGTTGGGGTCAGGAGGGAGAGGCTCAGGGGACCGGGGCCTCGGGAGGGGGAGCCCCCATCTGGCCTGGGCTGCGATGAGATGTGGGTATGTGCGCGCCAGCCAGCCGCCTGATCCCAACATGAGAACCCTTTTGTACCCAGGGTCCCTTTATCAGGAGATTTACGAGACGCCAAACTGTTAGGGCAGTAATTATAGCCCCCATAAATTTAATTGCCCTGGCAGAGGCTTCAGGCCATGTGTCTTTGAAGCTTTTCTTCAGCCCCAATGCCCAGCACCATTCTTTATGGCTCTCGGGTGTTTCCCGTTGTCAATAGCCTGTGAAACATTTTCTTTGCCGTTTTATGTATCTTGCGTGAACTTGGTGTCAGGTTATTATATAATGATGATGTCCAATTGCTCTTCCCCACCCCACCTTCTCTCTCCTCCTTTCCCTCTCTTCCACTCCCTCCTCCTTGGCCTTATCTTTCGGGGTTCTGGGTGTTCAGTCAACCCCAGTTATAACGGAGGAGAGCCTAAGCGCTCTCGAACCGCCTACACCCGGCAGCAGGTCTTGGAGCTGGAGAAGGAGTTCCACTTCAACCGCTACCTGACCCGGCGGCGCCGCATCGAGATCGCCCACACGCTTTGCTTGTCCGAGCGCCAGGTCAAGATCTGGTTTCAGAACCGGAGGATGAAGTGGAAGAAAGACCACAAACTGCCCAACACCAAGATGCGATCCTCCAATTCGGCCTCGGCCTCTGCCGGCCCGCCAGGGAAAGCACAAACTCAGAGCCCGCACCTCCATCCCCACCCCCACCCGGGCACATCCACACCCATTCCCTCCTCCATATAATCTTCTAGAGACCTCGACCGGTTTCTATCCCTAACCTCTCTTCTCCTGCTCCTTTCCTCATCCACCCTTCCCAGTCTGGACCATACTAGACACCAAAACAATCCCAACTTGGTGAAAAGGATAACCAAAAAGAAGACATTATCGGGGTAAGAGTATGTGCTGGTTGCCACCCATGAGAGGACAGTTGTCCAGGATGCTGGCTGGTGGAACAAACTCCTGGCCTGAACAAGGCTGCCAGGTGTCAATACCTCAGAAGGACTACTTGGTATCAAATACTTTTGAGATGGCTACAGTCAGCTAGCTGGAGGGCCCATGCTGACTGGGAACATATACTTGTATCTTTATTGAAAGCAGAAGAAAACAGACCCTTTCCCCACCTTCCTTACCTCCTTCTCCCCCATTAAGGCAGCTCATCCAAGCTTGTACTGAACTGAATAAATGAGTAGATATTGTGGACTTCACAAGATTATTTAATTCTTAAGATGTGTAGACCTTGATGTAGGTGTGACATTTTAGTTTCCCTTACTTGCATCTATTTAAGATACTGTCACAAGAGATATTGTTGTCCCATTCTGGGTCACAGTCTTTGGGGAGAGGGGAGTGCATTTAGACTCATGTTGAACTGTACAAATTGTGATGTGGCTGTATAGAAAGCCATGTGCTAAGAATAAACTCCATTTAAAAAACATTAAAAATCTAAGATTCATGTGTTTTCTAAGCTTTTCATTAAGAAGACAAAAATCCTTTGGATTGAGATACTTGACCTTACATGTAAAAACCTTGTAGATGGCTTGAGCTGTGTTCACTTGGATTCTGACTACTCACATAATTTGAGTGTGTGAGAGAGTTGTATGTATGTATGTTCAACTTGAGCTGAACTCTTGTCAAGCTTGGCCTACTGTGGAAAAGTTCCAAAGAGCAGGAAGGCTCTTGAGCTCTGAGAGGGTTCCTCTTCTTCCCAAACTTGGCCAGGCTTTCAGGCTTCAAGTCTCTGTAAGGCATAGAAACGTGTCCTTCCCTGCAATGAAAGTTGAAACCATGCAGTGCTGTGGGCCCAGGAGTTTCTGCAGCTGTTCTACACACTGAACTCTGAATACACTTGGAAAGAAGAGGTCTCTTTGGTATTTATTGCACCTTCACACTTAATCTGCCTGTTTCCCTGGAGAAAAAAAATAGTTTGTGCAAAGGGTTGAGATTACTTTTGTTTCTTGGCCGTTCTTAAGGTCCTCTTCACTAACTGCAGCCTAGGGATTTTTGTTTGTTTGCTTGTTTGTTTCTCTTTTTTTGAAGAAACAGCTTTCAAACAAACTGAATTTTCCAAGTACACTCTCCAAAGTTTCTTCTGAGGAAAGAAAAAGCATAATATACCTCCAAAGTTCACCCCAAGCAAAGTAGACCTGGAGAGTTTACTGCTGGAAAATAACCAAACTCTGAACTGGGGTCACTTTCCTCAAATGCTTTGTGACGTTTTCTGCATGATTCCAGAGATCTAGATCCAAAAGCCTGAAAACCAAAACCCGTTTCTTAATCTCTATAACCCTAGTATTTGTTTATTGATTTATATTTGGTGCTTACTACAGGAAGTCCCCTATAATAAGATAACAAAAATCAGTGTACACTAGCCCCAAAATATTAGACCTGTCACCTGGCCTTGAAAAAATGCAGCTTTTAGGTTATGTAGTAATTTTAGCATAGATGGGAGTAGGTGCTCACCTGACTCTGCAATATCAGAGAATTTTAAAACACATTCCTTTCTTTAGTGGTAAAACCCTTTAGCCAGTGTCAGAGCTGGTGCCCCTTTTATCCCTTCTGCCCTATGTGTGCTACAAACAAGGGTGATCAGTTCTGTACCCACAAATCAGATTTGAGAGGAAAGTGAGAGATACCAGTCTCTGAGGAGCCAGAAAAATTTGGGAGCAAACAAATACACATTTACCTTCCCAAATCAGGCTAAACCTGGCATAAAGTATATTTTACAAGGTGTGAACGGGTGCCAGGGATTTCTGGAGGCAATGCAACTGCTGCTGAAACTTATTAACCCTCCCCTACTACACATACTTGTAAAACGAAATTAAATCATGCTGAAAATAGCAATTTTCCCAGGAATCATTAATCACCTCATACAATAAATACTTCTTTGTAATTCAACAGCAATTCTGAAAGGCATTCTCTGGGAAAAGTCTGTGGAGGAGAGAGGGATCTTCCTGCAAATAATGTGGTCCCAGGCAAGGACACAGAATCTTGGCTGTCTGCTTAAAAAAAAAAAATGCCTAGACTCCTTTGGTGAAAATTGAGTATCAAGCTGCAAAATCTCAAATGGCAGACTATCATCATTTAAGGTAAATTCTTATATTTCTCATTTGTGGGGAAAGAGGGGTATGGGAACATTCATAAGCTTCATGCTGGAGGCAGTTGTATGAGGATAAAGGGGATGACTTTCTTTCACTTGCACTTATAAGTCTGTCCAGAAAGGGAAGAGAGAGGATTGAGATCATTTTTCTGATATTCGGGGATAAGATGGCATTTTTGTCCCAACTGTATTGATTATTAAGGTACAGAACCAAGATTATTGGAAATGATCCAAATGATTGTCATTTCTTCAGTGTTATGTTTTGCCTGTTTCAGATTGGCTTTTAAGGGAGCTTGTTATGAGAGATTAGAAAATCCCACTTTGTGCTTCAAAATCATGCATTGTCTGCCCTTTGCTAGGGCAACCATAAGAGTTCACTGAGAGGACAAATTTTCTATCTCATTAATTGTTTTTGTTTTTTTTTAAAAGCAAACCCTATTGGCCCCTCAAACCCTTGACCTTTAAAGACAGTATTTTGTGTAAGCTCTATAATTCTATGAAAATAACCCTTACACATGCTCTCCTCCCTTTCTCCCTCCCTCCAATCTCTTTCTCCCTCCCTCCAATACACACTCATCTGCTTTAGTCACACAGCCAAGCTGTGCATGACTCCTAAGATAAAAGTTTTGTCAACATCTGAAATCAACCTAAATCGGATAGGAGACACTTTAATGGTCACAGTTTGAATTAAGTACTTAACACTCTCCCCCTTGAAGAAAAATGGCACTTTGCAGGCTTCCTTCCCTAGTTTTGCTGAAATCTACGATATACCCGGTGTTTTATTACAGCAGGAATTCAACTGTGACAGGCATAGTAGAGTACTTAATACCCAGGATGAAGCTCATGGGAAGATTACCTAGATAGATGGGGGAGGAGGGAAGTCCCTGTGCGTAGCATCTCCGACTTCATAAGCAGTTGTCCCAGGGTGCCCCTTTCCCCTACATCTCAGCCTCCTCCCTGTGGGGTGGGGTAGGGTGGATATCACTATCTTTCCTCTGTCCCCCTGTTCCCCTAAGCTTCCAAACTCTGCTGCTCTCCTCGCTGTGACCTTCCCTTTAGCAGTTCCCACATAGAAACAGATCGATGACTCTTTAGAATGGAAGAGAAGAAAAACCCAAAGAACCAATGTAGCAAAAAAAGCCTGGGGCTTCCCATCTGAATGAGTGGGTTCTATGCAGGCAATAGGCTGTCCTTGGCACTCCTTTGGTCTCTGCATACCTAGACACAGTCTTGTATTGAAAAACACAGGCTCACCTTTCTCAACTGCTGCTCCTGTTGCCCCTTCTCTATATTATACACTGGCCCAAGGATAATGCTGCTTTGTGTTTCAAAGAAACACATGGGCTGGAAACAATAGGAGGAAGAGACGTGTGCTCTGTTCCCTTGATGGTATAAGGGAGGCTGCTGTGGCTGTCTTGAAACCCTCTAGTCTGCAACTTATAGAACTCTGGCACCTTTTCTGAAGACTCCAAACTTATAGGGCACCCCCCTCCCTTTCAAGCCAGCTCCACTTTCTCTGGGATTGATTTCATCGGGTTGAAAGAGATTCCCAGATTGAGAGATTGCCCAAGGTGAAAGAGACCTGGAGGCCATTTTGGTTCAATCTTCTTAATATACAGATGAGAAAACTGAGGTAGCTGAATCATCCTCCTTCTATGGTTCCTTATGTTAATGAGTGTGAGGGTGGAATGCAACCTTTAGTCTTACTCTAGAGAGCAGTAAGGTCACAGGCATCTTTCCTCTTGGGAAGCTATTCTGCCAGGAATGGATGTATCTAAGCTTACACTTGACCTGGATGGCCACAGGTGTGTACAGCCAGAGAAGAATGATGGGTTCTTGCCTCATATGCCATCCTAGCTGCCTGGGGAGATTTTTGTAACCAAACCACCCTAGTCACGGAGCTCAGACAGGTGGTCTGGCCACTGGGCTCAGGAGGGGACAGACGTCAGGGTGCCTCAGAGAGCAGTGGACTCCTCGCTCTCCACAACGTTCATAATCCCGTAATGACTAATTCTGTCATGCTTGCCCTGCTATTTCCATGGTGGTGGCTTCCCTCGGACCAGGGCAAGGGTGAATGCGCTCCGGAGGCCTGCAGAGCCAAACAAGGACCCTGGTTGCAGCTGATAAAGGTGTAGCGCCTGTTCCAGGGAGATATTGAAATTGTAATCTTTGAGGTCATGTGACTCATTAAATAATTAATGCAGATCGTCAGGAATGGATCGGAGTCGTCAGGGCCTCACTAGGAATGAATCTCTCAGAAGTGAGACTCCAACTTCCCATTTGATTTTTAAAAACACACACCCTTAGATTTATCTCCAAAAGCTTTTAACTCCTTCAGGAAGGCAGGAGAGAATCCTTCGGAGGGGAGGACAGAGCTGGCGGGCCCTCGACTAGTCTTAGGGCTTTTTCTGCAGGGCTTCGGCGAGTCCGGGGAGCGCGCCGCGTCCAGGGAAACGTGAGTTCGGGCTTGGGTTTTCTGCGGTCACATCCTGGCTTTGGTGATGAAGTGGGACGGATGCGCAGACAGTTGGTAATATTCTGATTTACGCTGGGGAAGGCTGCAGAGATACCACAGGACGGGCGCGTGGCTTTGTTCAATTTTCCCGGCGTTCATAAATCACCCGCGCTGGGCGAGCGAGGGAGCAAGCGAGCGCCAAAAATGCGGCGAGAGAGGCCACCGCGGCTGCGGCGGCGGCAGTGGCGGCGGCCATTGCAGAGCGAGAGACCTGGGCAGCATCTCTCTGTGACTCATTAGTCTGAACGATTTATGGGGGACAGCAGCCATGAATATTAGACTTGGGGATAAGGAAAGAGCAAAAATAATAATAACCATAATAATTACATACTCCTAAGTGTCGCGCAGGGGGGTGGCGGATGGCAGCATAGTGGATCTTTCTGGGGTGAAATTGAGAGGCAAAGTGCAGGATGGATGAGTACACACCTTGCTCTAGGTCATGCCAGAGGCCCCAAGACCAGGGAACATTCCCTTTGGGGACCCAGATAGAAAGTCTGAACAAGAGAAAGGGGGCGCAGCGTGAATCTTGAGCTCTTTTTCTTTGGTTTGTGGAGGCTGCAGGTCGAATGTTGGCAAAGTGCAGCTGCCCATGTGCGGCCACTTGTTTAACGTGCTAGGGGGCTCCGAAGCCAGGGGTCAGGGGATTCCTCAGCTATTTGATAGCGCCTCTTAGCGCTATCTACAGAATTGCAAGGAGGCAGACAGACAGTGGAGGGCTGATTTGGGGCAGCCTGGGGTAAGAGGAGGTTACCTAGGTCTGGGTGAAGGGGGAGTGGGGACAGGGCTAGACGAAGAGAGCCCGCAGAATCCAGCGGAGTGCAGAACTTCTCCAAGCCAGGGTCCGGTGCGCGGACGATTCTTTGCCCCTTCCCTAGCGTCTTCCCCAGAGCTGACTGCCGGCTCGGTGACCATTTGTTGGTTAGAGGGCAAGAGAGGGTTGCAAATATTGTGAGGGACGAGATTTGAGTAGAATCAAGGCATCAAGTCGGCTTGTGGCCACTGCGCAAGGCCAGGCTGGAGCAGGGTCCCTGAGCAGGTATTGTACCAGCCGGCGCCCCTCCCAGTTTCCAGCAGCCTTAGTTGTCCTGCTCTGAGGGACTAAGCACTGAGATAGTCCCACCAGGTCATTAGGACCTAGAAGAGACGTACCCAGGGTTGGATAAACCAGAAGATAAAACCTCCCAAGACTGCTTCTGGCCAGCGGACTGAGCCAGGGTCTGATTTCGCGCCAACAGAAATGAACGCTATTAGTGAGGTTTCAGGAGAGTCCGTGATTGAATGCTCCCAGACAAGGCTTCCTTTTGTTAGGAAAAGAAAATAAAGCGAGCATTCACATTCTCCAAGTTGGGGTGCCGGAGGAGAGCTCTCTGAAAGCTGCCCACACCACCAGCAAAGGCGCTTCCACCTTCTCAGCTTCCTCTCTTTCATTTTCTTTCCTCTCCCGCTCCAACCCCTTCCCCCAAAAAAGAAAGAAAAAGGAGAAAGTGTGGGTGCGGAGATGGAGTATGTATTTATTTTACAAAAATAAATCACCATCTTCGGGTCATTCGTAGACTGGAACATTTCGAGCAATGAGTGCACCGCATGGACGAGTGCCCTGGCGACTCCTTGGTGTTCTCGTCACCCCCAGGGCCACCTTGGCGCTCACACGAGCCACGCTTCCCACTCTGGGCCTCCAACTCCCTTCTCTCGCAGCCGCCGTTCACCCTCTGCTGTTTATTTGTCTGCAGACCTCCTGGACATTGGAAAAGGCGATTCCCTGAGTGCCCGGAGTCGGAGGCAATTCCTGGTTCAGATTTAAACATCTTTCTAGGTAAGCGCTGCTCCAAAACTCTTCGCTGCGTGGGACTTTGCACCAGGGGGGTTGGGAGGAGTTGGCTCTCCACGGCTCCTGGCAACCGCGGCCTGTTGAAAGAGGTTCTGGTCAATATTTAACTTCAGAGGAGTTTGGAGTTGGATTCCTTTAAGCTGCTTGCCCTGAGAATGAGGGGCCTCAGGCAGACAAAGAGTCTACCCCAAAGCCAGCGATGGTCAGGAGAAGTGGTTGCAGAAGGCAAAGATGGGTTGTGGAGAGTCAAAGGGGGTGTGTTTATTTCTTTCTGCAAGCCCCAAACAAACCACTACACTGAACTTCAGGGCAAATGCAAGTAAAGGCCATGGGTATGCGCGCCGCGGCCCCTGCGTGGGCTGCTCTCCTTGCTGACCGAGGGGGCTGCGGAGGCTGGGAGTTAGGAAATTGTCGCCAGTCCCAGCTTGCTGTTGAGGAAAACTTGTCTCACCGCCTTGCAGTTTCTTAGATCCTTTTGCCTTTTCTCAGGCATAAGAAAGATTGCTGTGTTTCTAACCTTTAGGCCTTCGCAGGCAGCCGGTCTTCTCCCTTCCTTCACCAGGGCTCATTCTCGGTTCTTCCTACGGGAAAAATATGCTCTTCTATGTCTTGGGGTTTTCTTTTCCTATTTGGAACAAGGGAAAACTCTTTTAAATTCTTTTCAAGTTCTGGCTTAATTTGTTCTCTTAGTTTGGGATGCAGGGAGGTAATTACTGTGGTTTATTACCTTGTGAAAGATCCATAAATTACATGCCTGTTTGGGGGAGGGGCTGCTGGAATAGCTTTCACCAAAACCATAGTATGAAGGAATGAGTTTGCTTTGTTCTTTCAGGAATTACTTATTTTTAAAAAGTTTTGAGATTTTTTTCTATTCCCTAGGCCTCAAACTTCCCTTAAATTTGATCCCAAATATATATCAGGTTGTTAATTAATTGCAACATGATATTCAGTGGTGCTCTAAGGTTGATATGGTGTTATGGATACAATGATTATTTTTTCCGATAGAAGGTAAACAGAGCAATAGTCAAGCTGGGTTACTTTCTTAGCTACTGTATGTCTGTTTATATCAAATGTAGACAAAACGTTTCAGGAATTTGTAACTCCATGTATATGATTTCATCTCTGCAAACAACAGAACAATTGCATGTGTAAATAGTTGCAGGAGTTTGGGGCCGTGTGTATAACACAATATAGACATCCACATGTGTCCAGAGAAATTGGCTCATTTGTACTACACTTGCACTCACAGGAAATATCTCATCTTAAATAAGAATCTATCATACACACACACACACACACACACATATACACACACACACACACACACACAGTGGGCTAAGAGAGCCTTACCTGATGCTGAGTAGAAAATTCACTAGATTTAAGTAATGGGACAAAAATGTTAAGTGAATTTTTGATAGAAAAATCAGATTACACTGTTTGAGTACAGATATATGTAATCTGCCAACAGCCTTGCAAATATTGACTAATGGTCTGTATCCCTGATTGCCTGCTTTTTTCAAGCCAACTTTCCCCCTATTTTGGCTCTGGTGACCAGGACCACAGCATGAGTCCCAGCCTAGGCCAGGTTAGAGGCCAGTGAAGTGAGTGAGGAGGGACTGGCAGCTGGATTTTTAAAAGGCCTGTAGCTTTGCTCCAGGATACTGGATTTCATAGTGGCAAAGGAGAACTGTCAGCTGCTGGTTCCCCAGATAGGCTTCCCAGGCCAAGATCTCTCATAGAGAAACAGTTTTTTACCTCAAAAGTTAAATGTCTTTTGACTTTTCAGATTTTTCCCTTCTCATCCCACCAAATCACCCAATCCCACCCCAAGTCATTAATGTTCATTGTTAAACAGCAGTTGGAGCATTAACTGGGATGTTAGCAGCCCTGTGGAGGCCCCAGGCTGGAGCTGAGAGATGCCTCTGGGCTTTGCTGGCGTTAAGGCATTTCTCTGAAGCAGTACCAATGACTTCTCTCATTGACTTATGGCTTTATTTATTTATTTATTTATTTTTTCTGCGACTTAGGTAGTCTCACTCTGTCCCAGGCTGGAGTGCAGTGGTACGATCTCCGCTCACTGCAACCTCTGTCTCCTGGGTTCAAGCGATTCTCTAGCCTCAGCCTCTCAAGTAGCTGGGATTACAGGCATGTACCACCATGCTGGGCTAATTTTTGTATTTTTAGTAGAGATGGGAGTTCAAGACCAGCCTCCATGTTGGTCAAGCTGGTCTCGAACTCCTGACCTCGTGATCCACCTGCCTTGGCCTCCCAAAGTGCTGAGATTACAGGCATGAGCCACTGTGCCTGCCTGGCTGACTTGTGGCTTTAAGAGTTTCGATTTGCTCAAGACTCTTCCAAGAGTTTTGAAGGGGGTCCCTTCTCATCTTTGAGTTGATGCCTCTGCAGAAACTTGAGGGTGGGGAGGAGTTTGCCAGCAACATCTCCAGGTCCTTTTCTAGGGTATCTGGAGAGCTCATTGTGAATTATTGGTGAGGGGGATGAGGGAGGCAGATAGCAGTAAGAATGAGAGGAGTGAGTTCTTGGGGACAGGACAATGCTTTTTGGAAACCAGATCTTGCTCCTGTCCTCTATCCCCCAAACCTGAGAGAGGCAGGTTTTCACTTTTACTTCTTACTTTCCAGCTTATAACATAGAAGCTGGAAAAGTTCACATGGAGGTTTTCTTCCAGCTACACCACAGATCAAACCTTATTGAAATATTGTCACCAGTTTAGGCCAGAACTTGCTTTCAAGGGATTAGGTCTCTTCTTCTATTGCCCTTCTGATTTAGATAACCCATGACCAGGTTCTCTTATTAAGGGCCTTACATTTTCATCAGACCCCTTCTGTTCCTCTGCAGGGGAGGAGTGAAGGGGAGGAATCATGCACAGCCTCCTGAAGCTGCTACAAGTGAGTCCTCACATTTAGGTATAGCCAGCTGAAGACCCATTCTCCAGAAACAAAAGAATATGGCCTGAGGATCTCACTAGCCTCACAGCACTCTCAGAAGTTCAGAAACTAAGAACGGGAAAGAGAAGCTTTTTAGACAGTGCATGAAATAGTACAATGTTGAAATCGGTGGGCAATGTCACCAGGCAGAAGGCAGGAGTAGGGGTGGAACTAGGGGTGGGTGCAGCTTATTTGTTTCAGTTAGGTTCCTACTGAGCACAGCTGGTTCTCTATAGGTTTTCTCCTCAAGATTATTTTCAGAGTTCTGAAGGGGATCTTTCTCATCTTTAAGTTGATATGTCTGGGGGTGGGGGGATAATTTGCTGGTGGACACAGAATTGTCTTGGAAAATGGGTGGACAGACGTGCCTGTAGAGAGGGTTCCAGGTTGCCTTGTTAACTCAAGGCACTCCAGTAAAGGTTGATTCTTTTCCTTATTTTTTGGGGGGGGGGGCAGATCAATCAGATTATTTCCTCTGGTATTTTTCATCTTTAGAAACCTATAGTTTCATGTATCACTCAGCTGTGCACTGAGGAAATGCTTAAGTTTGGTCAGGGCACTAGGTTTCTCTAGATTTTGCAAAACCCGGACCACCACACTATAGCCAAGCACATCTTTCCTTGTAGGCTCTCATTGAACAAAACCAGCTGGACTTGGAGGAGATGTTTTAACCTTTTGTCAGGTAATTATGGGCCTTTTTGGTTTCTCTAGTGGCTGTGGTGTATGGTGTGGGTGTTAGCAAACTCCATACAATGCAGGCAGGGAGGAAGTCCACTATCCAGGCCAGTTGTTTCTGGGCCTGCCCCTTGCCTTTTGATATACTGGCCTGTGAGCCAGCGGAGACTGAGGTGCATGGGTGTGCACAATCCAGCTTGTCTGAGGGTGGGAGGTTGTAAAGAAAGTTAAGTGGATTCTAAAAATAAGAATAGCATTGGTGTATCCTTGTGTTTGGAGTGTGTGTAAAGAAATGTAAGTGGAGATAAGCTGTCTTGTATGGTATTCATGGGGGGATGGCCCCCAGCATCCTATTGCTTAGACAGAACTCTTAAATTCAAAATTGCTGGTTGAGGTCCCCCACCTACCCTCCCTCAAAGCTAAATATTCCGTTTGGAAATCTAGTTCCTTTAGTGGCTCCCTATTTCAAATAAAAGGATTTAAGTTGACGTATAACCACGTGAGCACATAATACAGCGCATTATTGTGGCATTTGGAGCGGAGACCCAGGCAGGCTTCGCCTGTGATTACGTTTTCTAGATTCTCTACAGAGCTGGAGCTTTTCCCCAACCCCCACGCACCCACCTCCTCCTTCTCCTTCCCCTTCTCCGGAGAGCATTTCTGAGCAGGTTGCAGTTTTCAGCACTCATGGAGCGGTTCTGGGCGAGCTAGCCGATGGAAGTCGAGGCCATACCAGGAGGATGGAATTTATTTTAAGGTATTTCCGCTGATTGTTCATATCTAGAGTGAGTTATGGCTGTGAGAGACAAAGGTCAGGCGAGGAGACCCTGGCTCATGGACAGGACCCTCAGCCTCTCTCTACCTTTGTTTCTCTTTTAGAACTGAAACCATTGGAAAGATTCCCAGTAGTGCCTCAGAAAGTGTTATGGGTGTAAATTAGGGGTATTGGGGGGCTACTAGGTGGGCCCAATGGCCCCCAGTGCAAGGGTGGCTTCGTCCACTACAGCAGAGCGGGGCTGGAGTCTCAGGAACTGAGCCCAAGGCAAAAAGAGGGTCCTGAAGCCCGGTGCAGGCCGACATGGCCCGGCTTGCAAGGCTAGACTGCCTGGGAGGGGTGGGGGATGGGTGGGTGAGAAGGGGAATCTCTCCCGGGATGGCAGTGTTTTCAGGCAGGGGATGGAGGGTTAGGGCTGACCTGAGCAGCCTGAGCAGCTGGAAGAGGGAAATCAATGAGGGAAATGTGCAGATGCACTGCCATTTTATTGATGATGCTTCCAGACACTTTGTTCAGTGCCAGATTGCAGAGCATGCTTCCCCACAAGCCAGACCCAAGAAGCCAGACCCGAGGATCTGAACCGGAGGGCCTGCCATTGTTTCCCTGAGCACCCTCTGCCCCAGAGGGATGAAGAAACACAGCTCAGACCTAGGAGAGCCTTGGGGTGGGGAGAGCTTGCTGGATGCCCTGAGGCTCCTTATTCTAACATTCCGGAGACAGAGTAAGGAAGGAGCCAGGATTAGGTTTGGACTTTATCAGTGTGCCTGGTGCCTGGTCTGGGCATTCCTTGTATAGCCCCAGCTGGCCTGGAGAGTTCCAGAACTGGCCAGTGGGAGGGAAGTCCAGAAACAAGATTCCTCAGGAAGCAGAGGCAGACATCTCTACAGCTTCAGAGCTCCCAAAACAGAGGTGGAGCACGGTGGAGGCAGATGAAAGTTAGACGCATGTTTTCAGATTATTGGGAAAGCCCCAGCTAATTGGGCTTTGGGGACCCCAAACTCCTGGGAAGGGTGGAAACTCCCTGGAAAGGTACAGGAAACTCTACTTTATTCTGCTCCTTGAGTAGGGAAAGGGATGCTTATAAGGAGTCAGAAGTCAGATTTGTCCCTTTGACTCCTTAAAATATAGATTATTTATTTCTGTTCTTGAAAAAAAATCAAATCAGGCATCCCCTACTTGAGTGGGATTTACTACCCCAGAACGATAAGGGCCCTTTTGCCCTCCCCCAGTGCCGGCCTCGGCAGTAACTGTGTTTAACTGAGGCCCTTTCAAGTGCTCTAAAACACCCCTTGGAAATAAAATGTAAGCTTTAATTGCTGTTCAATTACTTGTCAGCATTTCATATGATTTATGACCTAGTTCTGGCGCATTTTTGACCCAGTTAAAGACTCATAAATAATATACTTTCACTAGAAAGAATGAGAGAGGGAATAGAGGTTTGTTAGAGGCATCTTTTTATTGTCGATTCAGTGCCAGCAAGCTGAATAAATATCTAAGGATGGACTCTGGTTCTATATAAAAGCATGCACAGTGAGAAGCCAAGAGCCACATTTATAGAGCTTAGATTCGTTTTTCCTTCCATGAAAGTGCTAAAGTCAGTCCAATATATATAATGCTAAACTATTAGGCATCAAAAAAGGCTGGTCCCCTTCTACCTCAAAATGGCAGCTTCACCCTCACAGGCGAGTACATTTCCTGAATAATTTTCCTCCCCTTCTGGGATTTTGATGCCTCTTCTTGCCCACATTATTTCTCACCTTCCTCCCGGGCTGCTAGCCTTGGAGCCGCCAGAGGCCCTCTCAGACGCCTTCAGGAGGACACCCCCTTGAATGGTAGAAAGGCACCACCGGCACCATTGCTGCTCCAAGTATTCTTCTAGTGCTGAGAAAATGTTTTCTTCTAGTCCTCCCTGGATGAGAGATCGGGAGCCACGGGGATCTGGGGAAACTGGTGGAACCAAGGGGTCCTCTTAGTAAGGAAAAGCTCTGCGATTTTGGTGAAGCCGGGCGAACTGCTGTGGGATTTGTCTAGAAAGGGCTCAGCGGCGGCGGCCAGTAATTTCTGGAGGTGGAAATCAACAATCGGTATTTTATCTTTAAAACAAACAAACAAACAAACAAACAAACGCCAATAACAAACCGACAAATAGAAACCTTCCGTCAGTATAAATTATTATTTTAAAATAATCTCGCCTACGCTTGCTCCAAAGCCAGTCCTTTGGATTTCAGCAGAGCGGATTGAGACTGGGGCGCCGACCATCTGCACGCCAGGACGTCGGACCTTCGTCTTGAGGTCGGAGCCCCACTTCTACCCGCTGAGGCCGGCAGCCCGGGAGCCACCTATGGGGCGGATAGAGGCCCTGGCCGGAAGCGAGCTTCTGCCCCAGATATCCCAGGGCTCCCACAGCTCTTCAAGTCCGGTCCCTGCGTTTTGCCCAGCAGGGTCTTGGCGCCAGCGGAAAGGTATGAATTCCGGGCGCCCCAGCCCTTGCTCCGGCGGCCTCGGTCCCCTTGGCCCAGAGAGTTCCTTCGCAGGGCGGGTTTTCACGGAAAGCTGGCCTTCCTGGCAGCTGGCTTAGCTGAGAAGGCGGTGAGAGTCGCGTCAGCAGTTTGGAGGAGAAAGTGCGGGTTGATTATTGACCCACGCCTTCTTTCTTCAAATGCTACATCCGATCGGGCTGGTTTGAAGAGAAAATGCCACCGAATGGATTTTTGCAGCGGCTCTCACCTCCTACGCGGCCGGCTCCCCCTTTCAAGTTGCGCTGCAATATGCCATAAGGAGCAAGTGTTTGCTGTTTTGTGCTCTGTTTACAGCTTTGGGGCGCCGAGTCATAAATCTTGCCCAGCCATAAATGACAAAAACCATTGGTATGCATGAGGCCACCCTGGCCCAGAGTGCTTTTTGATTTCTCCCTTTTCCCCTGGCTTTGTTTTTGCTCTAAGGTGACACTTTGGCTCCTTGACAGTTTAAACATACTACTTATATTTTTAACACCTTCCTTTGAGAAGAACCCGCCGTTGACACCTTGGGATTGCAGGAAATCTCCATTTCTTTCTTTTTGCTACACTCATACCCTTGCAGAATTTGCTTCTGAAGCTGGGGAGCTAAGGAGGCTTTGGGAGGACAACCATCCTCTTTCAAGTTGTGGCAATATTACCAGGAAAATTCGGGCCTTTCTCTTGCCCGGCTCAGTGTTACTCCATCCCACTAATTACGACTATATATATATATATATATATATATTTAGGAATCCATTTGAGAAACCACGTATTCCCCTGCCGTGTGTGTATGCGTGTGTAGATAATATATATATTTGGAGTCAGAGCTTTATCTGTCTTTCCTGTGGGTAAGCTGCGTGTCTGCACTGTGAAATGGGCACACGAGCCCTGCGATTCACGTTTCTAAACACCCTTGGGTGTTCCTGAGCCCAGAGCATCCCACTTCACTGCTGGAACAAGAGTCTGTCTTTCCCAGGGTACTTCCCTCCTGGCTGCTAGGATGTTAGCTGTTTCTGCCTAAAAATATAACCGAAGAGAGCCCAGGTGGCTCTTGGGGGTCTCTAGAGAGCCTTATCCCAGCTCCCCAATCCCAGACCCAAAGATCTGTTTGGGGATGGCAGGTGAAGTAAACCGGGCAAAGTCTGGGAAACTCACTTCTCTTGGTTCTCTTTCCCCTCACCACACAATTGGAAATGTCCAGGGCAGAGGAATACATAGTTTCTCAAACGGATTCCTAAGAAATAGAGCCCAGCAAGAGAGCCCCTTTGTGAGAGCCGTTTGTCCTCATTAGCATAATTTTCCTGGACTTTAGTGACGCCTGGGAGCAGGAGAGGGAGGGAGTTGGGGGTGGGGGGAGGCTGCCCTCCTCTTGCCACCACGGAGCTCCCCTTCTCCCTCCGGTCCCTCCCTTCGCTTCAGCCCCATCCCCCACACCGGCCCGCGCTTCCCCAGCCACCTTGGTCTCCCCTCCCGCCCGCCCCAGCACCCCCCACCGCACCCCTGGACCAGACGCTGCTCCGAGTGTAATATTCATAAGAAACATACCCAAGTCGGTGCCACTAGCCCAGGCAGAGCCCGGCGCCGCACAAGCGCTTATCTCCGGGCCGCGGCTGCTGCCCTCGGGAAGGGCAGGGGGCGGGGGTGTGGGGGAGGGGTGGGTGGGTGGGTGGGGTGGGTGGGAGGGGGGGTCCAAGCCGCCCCAGTCGGCCCTGGGCGAGCCGTGCCGGAGCAGCGAGGCGGCCACGCTCTTCGCGGCGGCGTCCGGGCCTCGGGGTCTCCTGCCAGCCTGCCGTCTCGGCTGATGCTGAGGGTCGGTGCCCATCCTGCGCCAAGGGGACCCGGCCGGGCCGCCGAGCCGGGCCGGGGGCCGGAGCGGGTGCCGGAGCCTCAGCCTGAGCCTGCGCTCTTGGTGCTCGTCAGAAGTTAAGGTAAGCAGGGCCGCAACCGGCCGCTCCCGTCGCTGAATGGCGGAGTTTACGTCTCGGTGATTTATGGCTGCAGACTTAAATCTCGGTTCAAGAAGAGTTCACAAGCCGGAGCTTCCTTCCCGGCAGTGACTGATACCCTTACACTTCGAGTTCAGGCCGCTTTCCCATCCCCGCCCCCAACTCCTGCCTCTGCCCTAGCCCAGCCTCAACTTTTCTGGGTTGGAGAGGGAAGGAGGGTAGGCAGGAGGCTCCGGTCCGAGGAACCTGCCCAGATCTGGGGCAAGGGAAGGCTATGGAAGAGGAGGGAATGGGAAGAGAGAGCGATCTCAGAAGGACAGAGGTTGAATTTGGGCACATCTTCCAGAGAGACAATAGGGCTTGCTTCCTGCACTCAATGTAGCCTCTTCAACTCTCTTTCGACTCTTGCACCTGGAGATTATTGTCCAGAAACGGATCTTTGTAGAGATATCTCCCCTCATCCCCAGCCCTTGCTTAAGGGTACAAAGCAAAGTTTTCTGGCTGGCAATTCACCAACTTCTTTACTAGGTTGCAAACTTTGGGGGCTGGGTTGGGGTGAGGGGATGTGTGAGCTCCAAGGTGGTGGTCTGCCAACCTCAAACAATAGGGAGGATTTGGGTGGGATCTCAGAGTCAAATTCATGTTTTAAGTTTGTGGGGGCTGTTGTATGCTCTTTGATTTTCACAGATATTTTTGTTATTTTGCAAAAAATTCATAACTTGATAAAAAGGCTTAAGTAAGTAGCAGGCTGGTATAACCAGTGATAATGGATTAGCAAGTCACTAGAAATATTGCATGTGCAAAGTCAACTTAATTTTGTTTTATCTAATATCTTGCTGTTTGAGTGTCTCATTTTCTTAACCTGATATTTTATTTTACACAAGCTTGGTATCTAAAAAATTTATAATGCAGACATTAATACTGCCAAATGTAATAAGAACTGTTTTTGGTAAAAGAAAAGGAAACTGATACATTAAATTGCTATTCAGTTTTAAGTTTTATTTTATCCTTTATTTACTTTCAATCATGATATGTATAGCTTCCTATTTCCAAAAGAGAATGCTCCAGGGCTCATGATCACTGACAGTAACTCTGGATAAGGGATGCTGTAATTTTTAATTGAGGTTCTGGAAAATTAATTATGTCTGTTTTGCAGATGTTGGTCAGATTGTTGGCTTAATAATGAAATCTAAAGGAGTCCATTATTAACAATGAAATTATAATCATCTTCTGGTAGATGCAATACATTATCTTTTTTCTATTTAACAAAGCATCTAATATTCCTTGAGAACTTGAATAACTCTGGCACTCAAATACATAGTTGGGTGGAATGAAGCCATTTTCTTTTGAATTTGTTATAATTTTCTTAAGTGGTCAGAGGGACTGACATTCTGAGTGTGTGTGTGTATGTGAATATTTGAAACTCATGGAACTTTTCTGTACTGAGAACTAGAGGTTGACCATGCAATCGTTGAAAACAAAAAGAAAACAGATATAACTTTTGCAAACTGCTTTCTAAATGAAAGAGGGTTGAGAAGGTTTTCAACTGCTTTTTAGATTTTCAGTTATCCTTTACCTGGTATTTCTGAAGCAGGTAAATAGGCCAAGTAACAAATATCAACAACAACAGCACACAAAGATCTGGAAACTCTGGCAGGATTTTATGGCTTGTGGTTCCATCCCTCGTCCGGAGCCAAATGACCCCCATACATCAAATTACATAGCAGTTTCTAAGACAGAACCTATTATCGTTAAGTTGGAAGGAGAGTTCAAGCCGTGGTCATGGAGATGAACGCTGGTTTTTCAGGTTCCTGGTGGGTTGTTTTTTTTTCTCCAATCCATCATGTTTTAACAGGTAGAATTTGATAGTTGCCCTGAATAACAGCACCTCAGAAAGTCCAAGACAGGAGGGTCTGGGAACCTTCTGTAACTAGGGGAAAGAAGTGAGGGTGCCTTGCTGGAAAGTGCCTGAGTAACAGGGAGAGGAAAAAAGTAAAGAAATCTCTAGGATTTGAGTTGCAACTTGCTGTTGGTGGTGAAGAGGAGGTTATTGTTGGACCCTCCCTCTAAACACACACATATGCACACGTAATGTGTGCCACCCAAAGTTTTCCCTCCCCCCCTTTTTGGCCACGAGGGGTCCATTTGGAGGAGATGAATCATATCCCCAACAAGGTGAATTAAGTGCCTTACAAGCTCAGCTTCTGAAATCCAGCATGGTTAGATGGGGCAAGTTGGCTGAAATTTTTTTGTGCAAACCTCTCTTGGAGGTAGGAAAGTCTAAGAAGGAGCTGGGTGGGAAGTTACCCTATCCCAGGGTTCTTTTGGCAAATATCAGTCCTAAAGCGGAGAAAACATTGGCGACTCAAGCTCCCCTTTGCCTCTTCGCCCTTCCCGAGATTCCCAGAGTGGAGGAGTCCTGGGCCCTCTGGAGGAGGCCAAGGAGCAGAAACTAAGTGACACCCTAAGTTTCTTCTTCCCTGGAAGAGAAAACTCCCAGCCTTGTTTCTTTCTAGCCTATCAGGCCTTTCTCCTTTTGGACCCCGGCTCCTGAGAGTCAGCTTCCAGCCCTCACTCATTTTCCTTCTCTCTCCCCGGAAGATCCCCCAACTCCAGACGCAAGTTAAGCAAATATTTGTAGCTGCCAGTAAATTCCAGCGGTTTTTTTTTTTATAGCGCGGCTCCCTGCGCCTGGGGCCAAGTCGTGCTGCTAAATATTGCTGACCACTTTTTCTTTTATGGCTTTCATGTCACTTAGCTATTGAGAGTAAGATGGATTTGCGCGGAGCCCTCACCGCGCTGCGCTTCTCGCCCCCCCCCCCAGGTCTGCGCGGGGCGGCCATTGGCGGCGGAGTGTCACGTGACCGCGGGGGCGTGCCAATGTGCGCCCTCACGGGTGTCAAACCTCTGTCAGAGTGTGCGATCAAGATCGTGAAACAACGCGATGCAAAAAGCGACCTACTACGACAGCTCGGCGATCTACGGTGGCTACCCCTACCAGGCAGCCAACGGGTTCGCTTATAATGCCAATCAGCAGCCGTACCCGGGGTCCGCCGCTTTGGGTGCCGACGGCGAGTACCACCGACCCGCCTGCTCACTCCAGTCGCCCTCCAGCGCCGGGGGCCACCCCAAGGCACATGAGCTGAGTGACGCATGCCTGCACACCCTGAGCGGCCCACCAGGCCAGCCCCCAAGCCTGGGCGAGACGCCCTTGCCCCCGCCACCGCCCCAGGCCGCGCCCCCTGCCCCACAGCCGCCTCAGCCCCCACCTCAGCCCCCTGCACCCAACCCTGCTGCGCCTCCGCCCCCCTCTTCTGTCTCCCCCCCTCAGAATGCCAGCAGCAACCCCACCCCTGCCAACGCAGCCAAGAGCCCCCTGCTCAACTCACCCACAGTGGCCAAACAAATCTTCCCCTGGATGAAAGAGTCTCGACAAAACACGAAGCAGAAAACCAGCAGCTCCAGCTCAGGTAAAAGAGTGCCTTCTGGAAGAGGGTCCTCTGGCCTGGCTGCTGCCCCCAAGTTACTGCCCACCATATCCAGCATAGCCTAGGAGGGATGGAGCCTGTCTGGAATTCGCTGCTCCCACACCACTCCCCACCAAAAAGGTTTTCAGAGTCTTTGCAACTTAGGGAGGTGATAGGCCTCTGTGGGCTGGAAAACCCCACAGACCTGCGGGAGTCTCTCTGGACTTCTCCAAGGGCAAGTAGGGTCTAGTGTAGTTGGAATCCCTTCTTGCTCCACTCTCAGAGTTAGGACCTCTGTGCAGAAACAAGCTGAGCTCCACTGTCCATCTTTTTAGCACAGCTCTTCTAATGAAACAGTGACATCCTCCTCATGCTGAAATGTGGCAGAATAAAAACAGGCCTAATCACCCTCCAAGTCAGAATCAATGCTTTGCCTATAATCAGAGCCAATTTTTGCTCCAGCAGATGGAGTGGCTGCCTTACCTCTGGGAAGACCCTACTCAGACTTAGTACAATGAAAGCTGCCAAAGATCTCCTGGGGGAGGGGGATGCAGACTTGTCATCCTAATGGGAACCACATGGGCCTCCTGGAAGTAGGCTCCACTAGAGGAAAGGCCCCAAGCCTTAGGCATCTTAGCATTTTTGGTTACCTTTGCCCCTGCCTTCTCCAGTTGCCAATGCCCTGCTCTGAGCCTGAGCATCTGGGACCTCCGGAGCCAGGATTTAGGGGGCCAGGGAAGACAGAAGGGTACAAGATTAGTGGACAAAAGCTGGGCAGGCTGCTTAACAACATAGGAAACCCTAAAGAATAGGACCTAGCATGAAGGGCCTAGACCTCCCCACCAGAAATGAACACCTTCAATGGGATCTCTTCCTTTGGGCAGAGAAGGCTTTCCAGTTTGAGGTTTCCAGTCTGGCTATCTCTTGGAATGGGCAGGAGAGACTCTTCCTGGTTAGAGAGAAATAAGTGGCCCGTAGAAGCTACTGCCTAATTATTGTCAGACAGCGTGGGAGGGAAACAAGGTTTGAGTGTGTACATTAGGTTTCCCACATTTCAGTTACTGTGAAGGGAATGGAGATGCTGAGACCGGCCCATAGGGAGGCTGTTTTCTGATAGGCCACAGAGACTAGTAAACGCCAGAAAGTTAATAGCTCTAAAAGGAAAATCCAGACCAGGAAGGCAAACTAGGGATGATACTTCCCTGTCCTTTTCCAGAGAAGCTTGTGATTGCTCCTTGGCTGAATGAGGGACTACCACTGTTTTACCCACGAGGAGAGAAGATAGCACCTAGTTCCTACTTCTCTCTGGGCCCTGACAGAAGGAGAAATCTTTGGGGCCTGAAGGAAGGAGGGGCCGGGCTGGGTCAGGGGCTGGGCGGGGCCGCGGCAGCCCCTGACGCCGCTCTTCCTCTCTCTGTCCTCGCAGGCGAGAGTTGCGCTGGCGACAAGAGCCCACCCGGGCAGGCTTCGTCCAAGCGCGCTCGCACGGCCTACACGAGTGCGCAGCTGGTGGAGCTGGAGAAAGAGTTCCACTTCAATCGCTACCTGTGCCGGCCGCGCCGGGTGGAGATGGCCAATCTGCTGAACCTCACCGAGCGCCAGATCAAGATCTGGTTCCAGAATCGCCGCATGAAGTACAAAAAGGATCAGAAGGGCAAGGGAATGCTGACGTCATCGGGGGGGCAGTCTCCAAGTCGCAGTCCCGTGCCCCCTGGCGCCGGTGGCTATCTGAACTCTATGCATTCGCTGGTCAACAGCGTCCCATATGAGCCCCAGTCGCCCCCGCCCTTCTCCAAGCCCCCCCAGGGTGCCTACGGGCTGCCTCCCGCCTCTTACCCTGCGCCCCTGCCTAGCTGCGCACCCCCGCCACCCCCACAGAAGCGCTACACTGCGGCAGGGGCGGGCTCAGGGGGCACCCCCGACTACGACCCGCACGCTCATGGCCTGCAGGGCAACGGCAGCTATGGGACCCCACACATACAGGGAAGCCCCGTCTTCGTCGGGGGCAGCTATGTGGAGCCCATGAGCAACTCCGGGCCAGCCCTCTTTGGTCTAACTCACCTCCCCCACGCTGCCTCGGGCGCCATGGACTATGGGGGCACCGGGCCTCTGGGCAGCGGTCACCACCACGGGCCGGGGCCTGGGGAGCCGCACCCCACTTACACGGACCTTACCGCCCACCATCCTTCTCAGGGAAGAATTCAGGAAGCACCCAAGCTCACCCACCTGTGATGGTGGGCTCGGGGCTACCCGCCAGGAGAGTCTCCCCCACCCACCTTTTTGCTTTGGTTGCCTTTTTTTTTTTTTTTAACGTTCTTCCTGCCCTTTCCTTCCTTCTCCGCCCCCGCACTCCGTTTCCCGGTTTCCCCGCTCTTTGGTAACGCATTTTTATAGTTTATGTGACGTAGCAATCTTGGTTGCTGTAATGGCTGTATCAGTAGCGATATTTATCTCTTCCTGCCCCTCGCTAGGCCACTGGCCCTGCATCCTTTACCTTCTCCACTCTTTGGTCAGAAACAGGGTATATGAACAAATTTTCTAGTCGTTTTCAATGTGAATTTGTTCGTACATTATGGCTCCCGAGGGGAAGCGATTACTTTTTTTTTTTTTTTTTTACATTTTTAGTTTTTTTTAATTGCACTTGTAAAGAGAGAGAAAAAAAATCAAAGGCGCTTTGAAACAGGGGCTCCCTGTGCAAGGATAACTAAGTGTCCGTCTTTCCGTGTGTGTATGCTGGTGAACAGTCAGATTTATTTATATTTTTTTTTGCAAGCATTGAATAAGTTTTAAATATTATTTATCCCCATCCGTTCGTATTTATATTAAAGAAATTCTGTACCCTGATTGTTCAGAAGGGTTCTTGGACCTTTTGTTCAATTGTGTATTGGCGTACATAGAAAATTTTTTTATTTGAATGGGAAATAGAATTCCTTTAAACGGTAATGATGCAATAAAACCAGAGAAGATCCAGCTTTTGAAAACAGTGATTTAGATATGAATCCGGCAAAACTAAAAAAAATCATCTGTAAACGCGAAAAATGCTAGATTTGAGAGTTCTACATTCCTTGCTGCTCACATTCTGAGAAACAAAACAAAAAGAAATAAAGTTTTTATTCTGAATAATATCCTTGTTAAGAAGACCGTTCTTTGGCTGAAGACGTGGGTCTTCGTGGAATTCAGACCGAGGCGAGCCGGCAGAGCAGGCCGGGCGCAGCAGCCCTCCGACTCCAGCATCCGGCCTGGCCAGGCTATTCGCCTGGAAGTTCCGCGAATTCTCAGGATGGCGGCTGGGGCGCCAGGAGGCTGCGGCAGCTCTGGTAACGCTGGGCAGCCCGCTCGCTGGGCTGCCTGGTTCGCAGCTGCTGCGGAGGCAGGCCGAGGGCGCTGGGGCTGCCGAGTGCTGAGCATGGAGGAAACAAAGGCATCCCAGCCCACGGCGCAGCGGGAGCGCACAGGTGCCCCGCGGCCCGGCCGGGAAATAACGCGGAGCTGTCTTCTGCTTCACGCTCTTCCTCGGGCCAAAGCTGACCAGCTAAAGCCTAAATCCTGGGATTAGCCAGGCGCACAGAGGATGCTGAGCACTTTCCGGGAGCAGTCAGACTCCTGGTCTCCTCTAGGAATGCTTAGCGGTCCATTAGCGTGTCCGGAGGAAAGAATGGTTCCTAAAATCTGCACGCGGAGCGAAACAGTTCGAAAGGGATTGAGGCTCACCCGGGTCTCCAGCAAACGGAGGATTAAGCTGGGGAGAGTCACCCTGAGCCAGCCCTTCCCCAGACTGCCTAAATCCCAGCATCAGCTTCCTACTGAATGTAGTATTTGGCATTCTCTGAATTTATTTCCTCTTCTTCTTCCCTCCCAGGTTTCTTTTTATGGCCCCAAGTGGAGGGGGTAGAGCAAGGAGATCGGTATCTTTGAAATAAAAGGCAATTTTATAAGTACTTTTTTCATTTGATGCTACAGGAGCTAAATATTACATTTCCACTCCTGGATTTAAGAAAGGCTGCCTACTGACTGGCTGGTAGAGGCGAAATAAGGCGCAGTAAAGGGAAATATTTTAATCTTCAGATTTAAGGATTACTGGAGAAAGGAACCAAATTCAGAAAATACAAACCTCAGACCTGCATCCCCATAATCACCCCCTTCAGAGCTAGAAGTGAGGAACCGTTTTCACTTGGGGACCAGGAGCATCGGATGTGACAAATAAAACCCTATTCTCCCTGGATTGTATCTTTCAGAGGCAGAAGTGGAAAATGTCGCCATTTTGTTTGCAATCCAAAATATCCATCATCATGGCTTCTATCTTCCCCCTGTGAAGCTCCCTCAGTTGATCCTTAGAAGCAGGCACTGGAGCCATTTCTGGGTATCTGCCGGGTCCCATCAAGCTGCTTTTAGAGAAACTCCTCACGGTTTAAGGAAAAGGCTCAGAGGATGCAAAGCCAGGCTGCTGTTTCTCTCACACCCAGAGGTGCTTTCTCCATATCTGTCCTGAGGCTGTTGAGAGATATACATAAGTCCTTTTTAAAGGGTTTGGGCTGTAGGAGAAGTAGATTTGCTCCCACACCTCAACCTCTGTGCCAAAATATGGCGCACCTAAAAATGCAGAGGCTGCACAACCAGGCTTTGTGAGAACTAGAGCTTCCCTTTTGGTCACGCTGAGCAGATACAGGAGTCTTCTTTTAAGTAATCAGTTTAGAGACACGTGTAAAATTACCTGGAAAAATAAGGAATAGTTGGAGGAGAGATTCACCTAAGGATGAAGATCTTTCATGGATACCACTATTTGAACCTATTTCTGAAATCTACTCTTTAACTGAGGGAGGGATGGTTTGGAGGCTTTCTCCTTCCCCCAGGGCTAAGGTTTTAAAATGAGATTCTAATATGATTTCCCATATTTTACTGGTCAAGATATTCATTTTGGCTTTCAAAGAAAATATTGATTCACACCCCCCAGTTTCCTAGATATTAAAAAGAAATCCTTATTAAAATATCTCAGGGTTAAAGTAATAGATTTGGGAAGATTTCAGTGTTGAGTGGTCAAAGAAAAGGGTTTCTTCCAGATGGTATTTGAATTAAGGCGGCTGAGGCGGCCGAAAGCTCTCACCCACGCAGCCCCTGACAAAGCCTCAGAGATATGAAGGCAGCGCTGCTCCCTCTCTGCACCTCCCTTCCCTTAAGCCTGTAATATTTTCTGGTAAAAGCAAATGCCAACAGCCACCATCCCAGAGTATGCAAAGCACACTTTTTAAAAGCAGCCCTATAACCCTCTTCACTGCCAAAAAATTTTTTTGAAGACTAGTTTTCCTTATTTACTTGCGTTTCTTGCTCTCCTCTTTGCTCGACCACATTTTATCTTGGAAGGAGCTGGAAGCTGAAATGTGTTCTTAAGGGCTAGAAGCTGTCAAGGCTTTTGGTGAGCAAGATTGATCGTGCCCAGACTTCCTTCAGAGCTTTGTTTGGAATAAAAGCAAGAAAACTGAAAAACCTCACATTTTCCAAAATAGCATCTCTATCAGCAAGGCAAAACTCTGGGCTGCTCAATGATACAGGCTACTTTATATCTAATTTCCACCTCAAACCCTCTTTGATGCCGGCCTCAGAGATGGGGTCCTGTCTCTGCTCTTTGGTTGGCCTTTCTTGTTTTCTACTTAGATTTTTCTCTGCCTCCATCCTCTCTCTCCCTGGCCATCAGAATGATTTATTTTCCTGCCACTGATGCCTGCCGGCCTGGGGGAGTCTGATCACTTGGTCCCTTTCAAAGGAAGCAAAAGCGAATACCCATCCTTAGTTTTTTTTTGCGGGGGGGGGGGGGGAAGAGGTACCTCCAGATCTATCTTTGAGCCTCCTCCCCTCTTTCTGGCTTGGTGGATTTTTAAAAAGTTATTGTTTGGAACCTAAAGGTGTTATCTTTTGAACCCTATAGCACCGTCCAAGATTCGCTCAGTCTCAAGTCTCCTAATTGGAAAAAAGAGAATGAAGGAGAATGAAAACCTTTATAATTCCTCCTTGGGTCGCCTCCTCTCCCCGCAGCGCTGTTTCTCACAACAGAACCCGGAAGCAAACGTCCCCGGTGCCCAAGGATCAAGAAGGTGTGGGAGGCAGTTCAGGCTGCCAGGGAGCATTGGCTGTATCTGAACCAACCCCAGCCCTCAACCAGAGCGACAAGGACAAGAAGAAGGGTAGAAAAAAAGAGAAAGGGAGGGAGAGAGAGGAACAAGCATCTTCTCTCCCTGCTGGTAACTTCCAACAGACTTCCTGGAAATCGGAAATACTCACCGCACCCGAGCCCTACGGGTATGAAACCCAGAATGCCAGGAGCCGCACGCGCCTGCTCGCTCGGGGCAGCATTTCTTTGGCTGGTCGCCGCCCTGGCTACGGGGATTTGGACACATGGACCTGGGGTTGTTGTCTCGCTTGGCACATGCATCTTTCTCCAGCCACTCCTGAGAAGTTGATGGCGCAGGAAGGTTGGGAAGCTTCGAGAGCCTCCTCCCGTTTTCCGCTTCCCGCCGGAGCCAGATGCAAAGCTGCCGTGGAATAGCCTGCTAACAATGGGCCGGGGGCGCAGACTCTGGGCTGGACACTGGAAGGGGGGCGAGAGGCTGCGGGGAGAAGAGGAGGCGGACAGAAGAGAGAGGGAGGGAGAAAGGGGGAGAAGAGGAAAAAGAGGGAAAGACAGACAGACAGGAAGGAAAACAGAGGCGAGAGAGATCAGTTTTGAGATCCAGGAACTGGTTTTAGGAAAAGTGAAAAAGGAAATGAGAAAGAAAAGGAGGTACCCCTCCCCACCAAACTCTTTCTTTTCTTCTCTTTTCTGTTTTTTCTCTCTCCCCATTTCTCTCTTCTCCTCTTTCTCTTTATTCTCCCTCTCTCATCTCCTCTCTCCCTCTGCACCTTTCTCTTGCTTTAACAGAACTTATGTGGCTGGGATGCAGGGCCCTCGGGTGTCAAAACTTTGAAGATTAATGGATTACTTTGTTAATGACTGCAGGCGTCAGACTGAGGTGCTTAAATGATTTGTGAGGTGCGAGGCGTCTTCCCGACAGTCCCAAACAATGCACGGAGTGTGCGGGGGAGGCAGAGGGCAGCCGCTGGCGGGACCGACAGCAGGGCTCACACTCACACACATTCACACACTCACACACTCCCAGGCGCACACACGCCAACCAGATCCTTGCAGATCAGGAGGTGCACAGGCAACCTCGCCCCCACGCACTCCGGGACATCCCCAATCACACCCACATATATGTATTTTTGCCCTGAAAAAAGTGTAAATAAAGCCTCGCTGGCCCCCAATGAGGCGTTCCTTCCCGACTTTTTTGGATCAATCAAACAGACAGTGGCTTCTTTTGATTAAAGCCCAAATTGTCATTGGGCAGAAGCAATCATGTGACAGCCAATTCGGTCCAATTTCAACCTTGTCTCCATGAATTCAATAGTTTAATAGTAGCGCGGTCCCCATACGGCTGTAATCAGTGAATTAGAAAAAAAACACCCCAGCAGCGATCTTCTATGATAGATTTTTTTTTCCTCTGCGCTCGCCTTTTACCTGGGCCTTGCCCCCCCAAAGCCCCTCCAAAAGAGGGAACTTTTTCTCCGAGGGGGCTCCAAGGAGAAGGCCATGAATTACGAATTTGAGCGAGAGATTGGTTTTATCAATAGCCAGCCGTCGCTCGCTGAGTGCCTGACATCTTTTCCCCCTGTCGCTGATACATTTCAAAGTTCATCAATCAAGACCTCGTCGCTTTCACACTCGACACTGATTCCTCCTCCTTTTGAGCAGACCATTCCCAGCCTGAACCCGGGCAGTCACCCTCGCCACGGCGCTGGCGGCCGCCCCAAGCCGAGTCCCGCGGGCAGCCGCGGCAGCCCGGTGCCCGCTGGCGCCCTGCAGCCGCCCGAGTACCCCTGGATGAAGGAGAAGAAGGCGGCCAAGAAAACCGCGCTGCCGCCGGCCTCCGCCGCCGCCGCAGCAGCAGCCACCGGCCCTGCTTGCCTCAGCCACAAAGGTCAGTCCAAAGACTTGGCCCCAAGTCCCCGGGATCCTCTTCCTTCTCCCGGCTGCGCTGAGAGCGGCTGTGGGGGGAGGGGAGAGTGGGCTGGGAGAGAATGAGAGGGAGAGATGCTTGGTTGCCTTGTCCCTGCCCCTGTGGGCTCAAGAGTGGGTTTGATGGAGAGGAAAGGGGATCCTGCGCTCTACGATGAGACATACATATTTTTAGGAAGTGGGGGGAAACTTTTCCGAACTTGTGTAATGTGGGATGATTTATTTGAGTTGGAATTGACCTCCTCTTGTCTAGTTGTCCTAGAGTTTGGCTTTTTGACAGTAATGAAGAGTGATAGATCGCTCTTGCTCAGCTAAGCAGCTGATGCATTAATTATAAATTGTGTTGTGGCCGATATAAAGTTTACTCCCGTATGAAGAGGTTGGGGGGAGCCACAGGCATGAATTCGAGAGAGGTGGAGGAGATGGGGTCTCTCCCGGCTGGGCTCCCAGGAAAGGCAGTACAATAGCTCTACTGCATCCAGGGGCGGCCATTTTGTTGCAGTTGATCTTTTCTGCTATATTTATTCTCCAGTGGAATAACCCCGCTCGGACCCCTCCACCTCCAACTGTGAGTGTGTCTCTTGTTGGTTTCCCTTTCCGCAGAATCCCTGGAAATCGCCGATGGCAGCGGCGGGGGATCGCGGCGCCTGAGAACTGCTTACACCAACACACAGCTTTTAGAGCTGGAAAAAGAATTTCATTTCAACAAGTACCTTTGCAGACCCCGAAGGGTGGAGATTGCAGCGCTGCTGGATTTGACTGAGAGACAAGTGAAAGTGTGGTTTCAGAACCGGAGGATGAAGCACAAGAGGCAGACCCAGTGCAAGGAAAACCAAAACAGCGAAGGGAAATGTAAAAGCCTTGAGGACTCGGAGAAAGTAGAGGACGACGACGAAGAGAAGACGCTCTTTGAGCAAGCCCTTAGCGTCTCTGGGGCCCTTCTGGAGAGGGAAGGCTACACTTTTCAGCAAAATACCCTCTCTCAGCAGCAGGCTCCCAATGGACACAATGGCGACTCCCAAAGTTTCCCAGTCTCGCCTTTAACCAGCAATGAGAAAAATCTGAAACATTTTCAGCACCAGTCACCCACTGTTCCTAACTGCTTGTCAACAATGGGCCAGAACTGTGGAGCTGGCCTAAACAATGACAGTCCCGAGGCCCTTGAGGTCCCCTCTTTGCAGGACTTTAACGTTTTCTCCACAGATTCCTGCCTGCAGCTTTCAGATGCAGTTTCGCCCAGTTTGCCAGGTTCCCTCGACAGTCCCGTAGATATTTCAGCTGACAGTTTTGACTTTTTTACAGACACACTCACCACAATTGACTTGCAGCATCTGAATTACTAAAAACATTAAAGCAAAACAAAGCATCACAAAACAAAAACCCCTTTGACCAGGTGGTTTTGCATTCTTTTATTCCGGGAGTTCATATTTTTATTTTATTTTCTTCTTGAGCTACCCCTTCCCTCCTTTAAATGTTGAAGATTTTCTGTTTAGTGATTCCCTGACCCAGTTTCAGAGCCATCTTTTACAGATTATTTTGGAGTTTTAGTTGTTTTAAACCTAACTCAACAACCTTTTGAGATTTCCTGCGAGCAATATATGAGGCCTGCAAGAAAGTGATCATATAATTGTATCTTCACTTTCTATTTTTGTATTACATTAGGATGCACTGTCATGCATATTTTTCATAGAATAAATTCTCCTTTGCTATAAGTAGCTTTCTTATTTTTCTCCCCCTCTTTTTTCAAGGCTCATACGGTTTCTTTTTCTTTTAGTCTAACTTGGTAAATAAAATCATAGTCACAATTTAACTTCTTTTTTCAATTTTAATACATTTATTAAGGTGGCATGTTCAAAGTCTTCAATGGACTGCAACAAAACAGAAAACAAACAAAAATGGCTAGGGCTTCTAATAAGTGTTTTTGCTTCTTCTTCTCCTCCTCCTTCTTTTTAAAGGGAATAGATCTGATTTTCAATGCACAGGTTCAAGCCATAGATTTAAATTTGTAATAGAGACAGGATTGGGCAGTCTAAGATTTGGGCCAAGCCCAAGCTCTTGAAAGTGGAGAAATTAAGTGCCTACAGAAACCCCCAACTCCCGGAACGAGTAACATGGAGTTTCTTCAATAAGCTACCAGTCTCCAGGTCAATAACTACATTATCAACAATTCTTTTATTTATACACGTTTGTTTCAAACATCTACATGTCAACCCCCTCCCTCATATATCCCTCCACATTTTCAGTGTGGTTGATTAATCTCCCAGTTGTTGATGGGTTCAGGCAAAACAGACCTAAAAGATAGAGAAAACAGAAAATAAAACAAAACAGTGATTACTATCTGGAAAATGCACCCCAGAAAAGGTTCTTTCCAACCCTGTGGTTCAGTCACTCTAGGATTCTTTTTTTTTTTTTTTCCGGGTCAGAAAAATCAATATTTCATTCTTAAAACTGTTTACATTGTTAATAATGGATCACTAAAGCTTCGAAGTCAGGTTACCAAGTTGAGATTTAAAATTGTGTGTTTCTACACCGTAGGTTATAAATTAAGCCAGTTTCTAGAAAGAGAGAAAAGCACTTTAAATGAAATACCAATAAAACGTGATCTAGGGTGTGTCACTGGGTTGTTGCTTTTTCCCCCCTCCCTTCTTAGGTATCCCCATGTTTATTTTTCCCTTTCTGAGCTCTGTTCTTACTTACCGTGAGAAAATGCAGCATGTAAGCAACATGCGTGTGGGACGGGTTGATTTAAGAACCCAGCTCTTATCAGCAAAGGCTTGAAAGTTCCAAGGAAAACGCAATGTTTCTTCATAGATTTGCTCCCTACCTTCCCTTGCCCCTTCCTCCACTAAATCTCAGCCGCGGCGGCAGAGTGTAGGGACTATGGCTGGTTTCCGGCCCCAAGCTCATCGCGGAGCACGGCGTCCTGGCCGCGGCCAGGGCGGCGCAGCTCCTGGATACGATTCGTCCTACGCTCATAAATCAAACGCTTTCTATGAATGAGAATGTCGTCAAAGAGATCAATTGCAGGAACACATGCACAAATAAAAATCCTCTTACGTATTTGCCGGGGATCCCCGTCCGAAAGCATTAAGTTAGAAGGCGTTTAGTCATAATTCATTTTTATTGCTCTTTTAAAACAACAGCTTGGCTGAGCTGCGGATGCCATGAACAGCTCAGGGCCTCGGCAGCGTTTTGTTTCTTCCTTATTCCTTCCCATTCTAGTAAAAGAGCCCTGAAAGAGGCGTTTTGAGCCAAGCAAACCACTTGCAGGCGATCATTTTAATCTTGACCAAGCTTGCCTTTCACCCACTCTCCCAAGGCGTTGCAAGAGACCAGTGCGAATCTTCGGGTGCTGACCTACTTGCCTAGAGGGCTAAGGGTCTCCTACTCCGTGGAACGGCCCCCAGGATTTCTAGGGGGAGGGAGATTGGGAAAGAATTGATCGAGCTACAGAAGCCAAAGGCTCAAGGCCAGGGGAGGCTGCCTTTGTGTGCGGTTCCCGGAGAGCGGCGCTCTGGGCTGCCAGCCGAGGCACAGCCGGCCCGGCTGCGAGCGCCCGGCCTGCAGGGAGCCAGGAGCAGTAAACAGAGGAGGGCGGCCGCGGGCCTGTGTGCTAGTGCAAGCTCGTTATCCCAAGAAAAGGACTCCACCCAAGATGCCCCCGAAAAGAGGCCAGGAGAGAGGAAGAGAGGCTGAAGGAGAGCAGCGCCGAGACGGCGGAAGTAGCAGAGGAGGTAGAGTGGCTCCAGCTGGGGTTGGCTTTGTGGCAGGCGCCCTGCAGCCGAAGGGGTCCTGAAAATCCAGGCTGAGGAGGACAACCAAGGTACAGGAATGAGACAACAGGGGAAAATGTACCAACTTGCTCGCTCAGGCTTGGAGGGAGGAATACTCGCACAGCCAGCACTTACCTACCTCTTCACATCCTGTCCCCTCCCCCACAGGAGTTCCTTCTCTCCCCGCTGCGGGAAGCTGGAGCTGGCAAGGAAGCCGCCTCCAGGAGGACTGCCTTGCCTTTCCCCTTCTCCAAAACCAGGATTCCCAGGAGCTGAAACTGGGGCAGGGGTGACCTTTCCTGCCTGTGCTCCCTCTTAACCATGCTTGGGATGGATCCAAGTCACAGAGAAATACCATTCCAAAAGGAAATGTTTGGGGAGAATGTTTCATTGCTACTGAGGGAGACCAGGGTCAAAGGTCTGCGTGGATTTTCTTTCTTGAGGGGACAGGTCTGGGGGGAACTTCAGTAGTGGAGAAGAGAATACAGAAGACTGAAAGGGTGACTAACATATTTGAAATGTGCCTGCCTTGAAAAAAAAAACTTCCTTGTTCTAACGGGAGGAAAGGCTGAAGGGGAGTGGAAACTCCAGACCCACATACATTCCTCACTATAAATTTAATCTGTCGGATTCCAACTTTGTACACATGGTTGGAGTAAAATTTATACAGCATTGGCTGTAAAGCTTCTTGGATGATCTCTCGATTTCTCCTACCCAAGATTGCATCAGTTCTTGATCTGTTTGGGTTTTTCTCTCTACAAGCCCAGGGTTAACGTGAAACCTAATAGTAAACAACAATTAACTACCCCATCAGCCTCAGGGTAGAAGGAGGGTGATGGGGAACAGGACCCCTGGCCTGGGATGACACTCAGATTTGCACGTGTCTTTCTAGGCAAAGACTAGAAGGTTCTCATAAGCAACTACACAGTCCGTTGGAAAGGGGAGGAGGTGACGTTGGGGTAAAGTGTTCCGTCCACCATCAGCCATCTGTCCACCGCCACTCCCACCTGCCAGTCCCCACACCCACTCCAGACGTGCAGCACAATGAGGGGGGTTATAAAAGGAAGCTCTCTCTTTCTTCTAACATCCCTCTCCAGAAAAAAAGGAACGCGAGGGGAGTTCAGCGTAATTTGTTGGAGCTGTGGACTGGCCCTGTGAGGCCCACGCAGGCTCCTGGGTCTCCGGGAGCTGGCAGATGGCCTGCAGCACACGGCCCGGCCCCCACGCTGGCCACGTCATCTCTCTCCCCCGCCCCCTACCCCTCAAAATCCGGCGGCTAGTAGTTCCGCATCCCGGAGGGTTCCCCGTGGAAAACTGAGCGGGGGAGACAAAGGGGCGGAGGAGGGAGAGAAAGGGGCGGAGGGGGAAGATAAAGGGACGGAGGGGGAAGAGAAAGGGGCGGAGTGCGAGGAGAGAGGGAGGGTGGGGAAGAAGAGCCTGGCCGCCCCCGGCGTTTTCGGGGCTCTTCCGCCCCCGCCCCCGCTCCCCCACCGCCGGTCGAATTACAGAAGCTCCTCATTGCCATGCTAACGACGAGAAAGGGTAGTTGGGAGAGAGTTTCGGAGACCATCCAGGAGAGAGGAAAGTTTCTTTCTTGCCCTCGTCTCCTTCACGCTCACCCAGCCAGCCCTCTGCGCTCTTCCTTATCCATTCCGAGCTTGGAGAGCCGGTGGCCCAGCCTCGCCCTCCGCCACGGTTTTCTGCGCTCCTCACAGCCCCACGGCCTCCCAGTCCATCCTCAGAGCAGAGGAGTCGCCCTGGGAACCCGGGGCACTGTGTCAGCCGGATTCCCGGCCTTCCTGCTCGGCGCGCTCCAGGTTCGGCCCGCGTACTTCCGGCCACCTGGCCCACTGATTCCCGCCCCGAGAGAGCCGAGAGGCCTCTTCCCTTCTCACCTCTCGCCAGTTCATCTTTCGGTGCACGGTGGGGAGGAGGAGGGGACGGGGACGGGGGACGCCTCCCAGCCCCCACCTCTCGGAGGCCGGAGGGGGAGGGAGCAGCGGAGTCGGGCGCGCGCAGAAGGCAGGCTCTGCTCTCCTTCGCCGCAGCACACCGAATCGGCCTGACAGTCGCTGCCGCAGCTGCCGCCGCCTGGGCTGCCTGGGGGGGCGACTGTGCGTCACCTAGATGAAGGAGCGCCGGGGATTTAAATGCCACTGAAATGGTGATCCATCACCGCGGAAGCCGGCAAACTTTTGCAGGAGGCTCAGCCATTGGTTGACACCGTCACGTGCCCCTCCCATAGCGTCCTCCGCCCTCCGGCCCCCCCCTCCTGCGCACTGTACATTCATGTCATTTTTCTTCTCTGGTCCCATGGAGGAAGTGAGAAAGTTGGTACGGTCACCCAGGGCTTCGCAGGACCAGGTCACTCAGTGACAGATGGACAATGCAAGAATGAACTCCTTCCTGGAATACCCCATCCTCAGCAGTGGCGACTCGGGGACCTGCTCAGCGCGAGCCTACCCCTCGGACCACGGGATTACAACTTTCCAGTCGTGCGCGGTCAGTGCCAACAGCTGCGGCGGCGACGACCGCTTCCTAGTGGGCAGGGGGGTACAGATCGGTTCGCCCCACCACCACCACCACCACCATCACCACCCCCAGCCGGCTACCTACCAGACTTCCGGGAACCTGGGGGTGTCCTACTCCCACTCGAGTTGTGGTCCAAGCTATGGCTCACAGAACTTCAGTGCGCCTTACAGTCCCTATGCGTTAAATCAGGAAGCAGACGTAAGTGGTGGGTACCCCCAGTGCGCGCCCGCTGTTTACTCTGGAAATCTCTCATCTCCCATGGTCCAGCATCACCACCACCACCAGGGTTATGCTGGGGGCGCGGTGGGCTCGCCTCAATATATTCACCACTCATATGGACAAGAGCACCAGAGCCTGGCCCTGGCTACGTATAATAACTCCTTGTCCCCTCTCCACGCCAGCCACCAAGAAGCCTGTCGCTCCCCTGCATCAGAGACATCTTCTCCAGCGCAGACCTTTGACTGGATGAAAGTCAAAAGAAACCCTCCCAAAACAGGTCAGTCCTGGAGGTTGGTGGATGCTCCTTGATTAATCTGGAAGGAGCTGATATGCTTAATTTCCAAATAAAATTAATAATTTTTAAAATAAAAGGCTTTTGTATCGAACTAGTGTTGTAGTGCATGAAGAGCATGGAGAGGGTGCCCAGAGGTGTTGGGGCAAAGAAGCTTCAGGGACTGGTGTGTTTTCAAGGATTTTATACATTAGGGAAGTAGGAAGTGTGTGGGGATGGTGATTGTGAAGGTAGTGGTCTGTTAATATCTCCAGGCTCCATTAATCACCGTCTGACCACGCTAATGGTTGACTTCAGGTTAACACTTTACACCTTATCACTCACCCTCCACAGCTCGATTTGTGTTGAGTTCTTGATCTTTCCTTTACCTGAGTGTTGCCACGAAGTGTGTAGGGGATTTCAAGTTGATTTAAAAATTTTTACCTTTCCGTCTCATGGCTTCCCACTTTGCCCCAGGGAAAGTTGGAGAGTACGGCTACCTGGGCCAACCCAACGCGGTGCGCACGAACTTCACTACCAAGCAGCTCACGGAGCTGGAGAAAGAGTTCCACTTCAACAAGTATCTGACGCGCGCCCGCAGGGTGGAGATCGCTGCCTCCCTGCAGCTCAACGAGACCCAAGTGAAGATCTGGTTCCAGAACCGCCGAATGAAGCAAAAGAAACGGGAGAAGGAGGGTCTCTTGCCCATCTCTCCAGCCACCCCACCAGGAAACGAGGAGAAGGCCGAGGAATCCTCGGAGAAGTCCAGCTCTTCGCCCTGCGTTCCTTCCCCGGGGTCTTCTACTTAAGACACTCTGACTACCTCCCACTGAGGCGGCTCCAGCCCCTGACCACAGCCCAGGCATCTCTTTGGGCTAGGACTTCTTACCCAAAGCACACGCTTAGCTTATTTTTCTTTCCATTTACAATGTCTTTCTTTCTGATCCTATCTGGGGAGCTCCTGGCCAGGATAATGTGTTTGCAGATAATTCTGGACCAGAGACTTGGTAAGGGTTAACACCTTAATCCAGATTGGGTGCCAGCATCAATTTTCTGGTGGGCCTTAACATCCCTCCTGCTTTTAGGAGAATTCACAGAACCTGCTGTTCCTTTCAGATGCCCTTTTGGAAAATAGTTCCCTTTGCCAACAGAAACATGTCAGAGGGAATCTTCTCATCTTTTTATCTAACTACATGTACAGCTCTTCCCTCCCTTGCCCTTGAAAGTAGGATGTAGTAAAAGGAGAGTCCAGTAGCTCACGAAGAAGAGATGCACTATGTGTTTACACAACTAATTCATCCCTAATTTAATTCAGTTTCATGTGTGTGAGTTTGCTGTTTGTAAATACTTTGTCCTGAGAGATTTATCTTTTTACAGATTTTCTAGAAATGTTTAGATTAGATTACTAAAACAGGGTGGGCAAACTCTCAAAACTGGTACAATTTTATATGTGCTTATAGGTGAAAGAACAAATTCCCTCATTTAAACCCAATCGGATGCCTCAGAGGGTAGCCTCAATTTGTTCTTACAGTTAAGAAGGCCTGCAGAGCACAAAGTTCAGAAACCAGGCTTCCCGTGCTAAGTCTCTCCTAATCCCTACCCCTTTCTTCTCGGGCCACCCTCCGTTTAAAATTTGTGCTGGATAATCCAGAACCTAAAAGTATTATTCCAACCAACTTCTTCCTTCCACAGTTATCTTAGCTGGATATGTTGTATTTTCAGCTCAATTGTTAATGTGATGGATGGCACAATGAATGTATATTTTGTGTGATTCGTGAAGTCTTTTGCATGTCGCACAATGTTTGATGTTCCCGAAGTACCACACTGAGTTCTATCAGTTATCCTTTGTGAGCCTATGATATTCTCCATTTCCTGTACAATCAAGAACAGCTCTGAGATTCTAGAGTGATATGATCCAGAGCAGAGTTTACGGGTTTTAGGATGTCTGTAATAAATATATATACAAGTTTCAGGTATGCTTAAGCATCCGTGTATTTGGCTGGGCTACAATTTGTTAATTCCTACATTGGCACATTTCATGTGGGAAAAGGGAGAAGGGTAAATATTTTCAAAGAGATGAAACTTTTCTTGAATAAAAGTTAATGTTTTCCATTATCATGTAGCTGAAACTCCCCCATGAGTATAATTTCCCTTAACCAATGTCTGTTTAATAGGTTGATTCTCTTTAAAATTACAGCTCCTTTATTATAATCAAAGCTCATAATGAAAAAAAAAGACTGGTGAAGAAATTTATGAAGCAGATTTATTTTTGAAACAAACATGGATACTTCCTGGGTCAAGTGCTAACCTTTTCACCTCCAACTGGATGTTGACGTATATATAAACAGAACTCCCTTCAAAAGCCCAAACTGTCTTCAGTCAGTCTTTCCTCACATCAGTGAACCAAGAGCTAAGAGATTCACATTTAATTAGCTCCAGTATAAAGCTGTTGTGAGGATGGGGCCCTCATTCTACTCCTTTTCCTTCTTTTTGGGTTGTCAGGCAGAATTCCAATATATTCCACCCTTTAAATGTAGTGTTTTTAGTAAACCCTTGCATCCCTTTCCCCATTCTTCCTGTCAACATATATCCCTTCCTGTAGCTCTTCCCCGCTTCTTCCCCATCTCTGGATTGCACATCTCATTTCCTTCAGACTCAGTTTTGATTTTATAGCCATCATGGCTGTAATGGATCCACAGTTTTAATTCCATGCCACATAACCCAGAAAAAAATTATTTTCTTCTCTGGGCTCAACAGGTACTTCCAGGTGAACTTGTGGAAGCTACCCTGAAGTCTTTCAATATCCAAGTTGTTTCTGACCAAGGCACATATCTGCTCTCAAAAGAGGAAGCCAGCAAATGATAGAGTTCAAAGGGGCTCTCCTCCAGACCTCTTTATCACTTTCCTTTACTTTCACATATTTTTGGAGGCATTTTATTTAGCCCAACAGTAGAGCAGAAAATTTACAGCATTGAAAACAAATACAGACATATGACTTCCTTCCTCTTCAAAGAGTGTTTTACAAAGGATGGGCTGGAGTAGAAAAACCCTACAGAAACTTGGAATTTACAGGCCGTCTAGAGCATTCATGAGAAGTCCTGCACTGCTCTGTCAAAGGAGAGAAGCCCGAACTTTGCAGGCGCAGTTGCTGCGGCCATATCAAGGGCGCCGGGTGCCCTCCCCTCAGCTGCTGGGTTCTGAGATTGCCTGTAAAAGACTCAAGTGGTTGGAGAAGAACTTCAAAGACGGTCAATCCTTTCTTTCATTTCCTGCTTGGCCTTATACTGTATCTTTTGTTTATTAGTGTAAGGCCACACAGCAAAACAGATGGCTGGTTTCCAAATACTTTAATGTGTTAAAGTGTCATTTGCATGCCACTGGCTCCATTTCAATATCTAAAAGCAGGGCACACTGGAATCCCGGAGATTCCGGTCTTTAAGGTGATTTTAATGCAGCAGAGAGAGAGAGAACAGTAAATTATGGCTAACCATCTCTAGCTTTCTCTAGATCATGGAATAAATCAGTTAACAAGCAATGCATTTAGGAAACATTAATACACCTTTCAACAAGGAAAACATTTGTATCTTTTTAGCTGTCCCAATCGATTAAATCAAAGGCGCTTAACACATCCTATTTCAAGGTCTCTCTTTTTCTGCTTCAGTCTCTGAGCACAGTTAGCTACTTGAAAAATGACAGCGATGGTAACTGAAACAACACACAGTGGGAAAACTGAAAATAACATTTTATTGATACATTTAAAAAGAAAACAAGGGTCTCAATTAGGCACTTGGGATAATTGTGATATAAAATTCTAGTTTTCTAACGTTTTTTCCTCGCTTCCTCTACATTTATCCAAAGTACTCCCCAAATACTGAGTGTCCCCAAACTAGGCTGAGTGGAGGTCTTGCTTTGGCTCTGAAGTCTGCTCTGAGTTTCACCTTTGAAAGTTTACTTTTGGAGGCTATTCAAATGCGGTGGTGTTTTCCTCAGGGGCAATCAGATTCTACCCGATCAATATTTACTCAGTCTGAAAGGGTTGTTGAAAAGGCTGCTAACAACAAACTGCTTAGCTGCTCACCCCTGTTTAATCTCAGGTTCACCGAAAGTTCAAGAAGAGATGAATGCAGTGATGGGTCACTTTAGAATGAGTCCCAGCAGTTTATCTGAGCTCTCAGTTAAAGGCAACAATTATAGTTCCATCCCTCTTTGGTAAAGGGGAAACTTTCCTATTATTCTTTTGCTAAACAATGTTTACTAGAAACTTAAAACACTTTCCTCTCCCCTCCTGGTTCTTTTCTTTTCTTCCTTGTTTCTTCTTTTTTTGGAAGCGTCCAGCTGCCCTTTCTGCCCCCTCTTCTAGTTTTCTGCTAATCTATTAGGTTTCATTTGACTTTAAATAAATTACATCAAATATTTTTAAAATGTTAAATTAGTCTGACAGAAAAGATCTGATTTATTTCAGATGCCACGAGCTATGAAATGAAGCTCTTTGGACCATTAGAGTTTATCTTTGTGAAAGTACAGAGCAAGATTGAATTGAAATCCATTTGTGTTTGAGTAATATTGACAATCAGAGCCCCAATATCAATCTGAGATGGCTGTTGAGACAGGAGTGGGAAAGGGGGGAGGGAGAATTGGCTTGCACAGAAGCAAATACCTCAGGTGGAAAGTCAACTTTAAAATTTTACGCGTTCCTAATGCATGAGCTATTGAGAGATGAAAAAGGAAGACCCAAGGAAGCCAGTGGGGAATGGTGAGTAGAAGATGCTAGACACTGAAGCTAATTGCTACAGCTCTTCAGAGGTCAAAGTTCATGTAATCACTGCATAAATGCATACTAAATAGGGATTTATTAAGCTTTCCTGATGGCTGAGCACGTCTGTGAAAAATGGTCACTGCTGTTTGTGTTTCCTCCTTAAGAATAATCATTCTTAAAGTAGGCATTTCAAGCTTTAATTTATTTTGAGAGACAGGCAACCTCTCTGCTTAAAAACTCTGAAATTAGTGCATGAACAGCATCTTTCTTTATATTGATTGGATGGGGCTGTAAAATACCTCTCTCACACTTAGAAACGCTATGGCTTTTTCAGTACATACAAGAACACACATTAGCATGCCACTACAGGATAAGCTAGTCACTGGGCAACTTTGGTGACCCTCTGCCTTAGATAAGTCTCCTTTGTGCCTGCATTTCTGACAACACACAAAAATTCTGCCTTAGGACTCCTTGTGCCTAAATGACCAGACTTGAATGGGATCCATATCCCTAATCTCTTACTCTATGGATCAGGAAAAGGCACCCAGAGGTGTATTGGTTTGACTGAGAGCACAGTCAGTATCCATACTCTTACTTCCTAAACAAAAAAACAGGGCAGCTTAGAACCTGAGTCCAGTGCATGTTTAAATTATAAAATCCTGATTCGATTTTGTCCCTCCCTGATTTATTCTACGCAATTTGTTTCAGGCTAGATATGATTTATTTTTTCTATTTCTGTTTTACTGACCACTCACTCAGCCAAGTACTTGACTTTGAGACTACCAAATCTTTGAAACAATCTGAGTCGAATACTTCTGCTATCTTTGAATAATAAAATGTGTTACTTACGTTTAAAGACACATGTTCTTAAAATATAAAATAGAAATCTAGAGGGCAGGTAAAGTTTAACACACACATATATTTTTATTTTTAAACTTAGATGGGAAAGAACAAATGAAAGAGGAGCTGCCTACACACAAGTTCAACCTCCATTAAATTGTCAAGAAGTATCATCTAGAAAGGGCTTCAATATGCAAGGGACATTCCAGGAGGGGTTCTAACTCTGAAACTTTAAAAAATGTGTTTGCTTTTTCTGGGTAGTTTGTAGTGCAGCATACCTCCTAAATTGTTCTGACTCATATTTCTTAATTTTTTTCCAAGACTGACTCATTACCTAACACACGTTCGCCCCACCAAGCCCAAACGATTAACAGTTTCCTTGCAATACAACTTTCCACATTCTCCTTCATCTCATCGCCATGGGATCCTACTGATCTCAGCAGAACTTGTTGCCCAAAGGGACATCAATGGTTGTCAGTGTTTGAAGAGCTAAGCTGGAATCCTCAGCGTTTTAGTGCCTTATTTTTAACAACACCAGCCATCAGATACGGCTGACCTTCGATTGCAGAACTACAAACAAAAAATCAATTAAACAAGTATGTTGAGTTGGCGCTAGCCTCTAAACACCTTTGTCCCCGCCCCCCCCCCCGCCCGCCTTAGGCAACTCTAAATCCTCATCTCGTCCTCAAAACATCCTTAAATGACTGCATTTTTAGTTTATTGGAAATAAATGAAAAGACAAATGTCTCTTTTTCAACCTGTTCAGACACAACTAAAACACGTGTCTCCATTTTTTAATCAGCTCATTAAATTTTACTCTTGTATTAAAAACGGGTTGGTAAAATGTCTAGTCACAAGGCTAATCTATAGAAATCAGATTGTTTTGTATTTTCATTTAGGCCTGTGTGGTTAATTGGTTGGGAAAAAATACACAAATACTTGCAACAGACAATAAAATAAAAAATATTTAGCGGCTTTTGTTTCCTTTCCAAACTGAGACACTTTTTAGCCACATTGGACATTTTTACGATCTCTGACCCACTGCGTTCTAAGCCGCCACAGAACCGTAACAAGAATGCAGAAAGCCACAATTTAAAAAGGTACCCCGGCCCCCCCCCCCCAACCTCCAACCACCGAAATATCAGCAACACGGTTCTGGCAAAGTATGCACGGGAATTTTCCCATACGGAGGAAAAAATGGGGTCCTTCTTTTAGGACGCACAAGGGGCAGCTGTCCAAGGCTTGGGAAGAGGTCGGTTCGGGCGATTGAGTCGCTCTGGCAGCGGCTGCCGGCGGGGCTCTGCCGGGGCGGCGGAGAGCGCGCGGCCCGGCCGGGGCAACTGCTGGAGAAGATGCCGCGGCCCTGCGGGGATGCAGGCGAGCTCCGAAGCCTAGATCAGGAAAGCTTTCTTCCCTTGGTTTCCCAGCCTTCTCCCTCTGAGTTCTTGACCCAACGCCGCCGCTCCGTTTCTCCAGTTTCCTGGGCCCCACGCAGAGCACGAAGGGAGCAGCATCCGGGCCCTTCCTGGCCTGAAGCCGTCGCGCCTCTGTACGGACCCCAGCCGGCGCAAGGCGGGAAAGGAGCAGCATCCGGGCTCTTCCCGGGTTTGCGCTCAGGGCCCAGCGTGAGGCCTGCGCTGTTCCCGAGCGGCGCCGTTGGGTGGCTTCGGAAGGAAGGGAAAGTGAGTCCTTGCACGTCCCCGAAGCCGCGAAGAGTCCAGCTTCGTCTCGGGAGACAAGAAGGCCTCGCGTTTCCTCATTCGGTTCCTGCCAGAGTCTCTCCGCTTCTGGCGTTCGTGTGGCGCGGTCTGAGCTGCCTGCAGCCACCACCTGACTTCCCGGCGAGGGCCTCGAATCCAACACTTGAGGAAACCCAGGTCTGAGGCCTCGCCCCTCATCCTGCTCTCTAAGATGTGAAAGCGGAAGAGAGTTTTGATTCCCTGTCCACCCCCCACCCCAGATATGTTCAGAGTGTACTTAATTGAGTAACAAATTCATTCTTCTTCTAGTTCATGATAGTTTTAAACAGCAGCTGTGGGGGTTTCCGAACATTGGATATTCAGGGACGCATCCTTGCCTTGCTTCTTAAATGCCTTCTCCTCCTCCAGTTGTGGAGTCAAATGCCTTAATGCCTTGCCTCAACTCACTTCTTTCTAGAAAGTTTCCAAGTACTGCTTCCCACTGTTTCTGCTTCCCCCTCCTAACAATGGCACTTTTTTTTTTTTAAGTCTTTTTTTAGACGGAGTCTCGCTCTGTCGCCCAAGCCGGAGTGCAGTGATGCGATCTCGGCTCACCGCAACCTCCGCCTCCTGGGTTCAAGCGATTCTCCCGCCCCAGCCTGCCGAGTAGCTGGGATTACAGGCATGTGCCACCATGCCCAGCTAATTTTGTATTTTAGTAGAGACGGGGGTCTCGCCACGTTGGCCAGGCTGGTCTCAAACAACTGACCTCAGGTGATCCGCCTACCTCAGCCTCCCAAAGTGCTGGGATTACAGGCGTGAGCCACTGTGCCTGGCCACACTGGCACCGTTTACCCGGGAGGCTTTGTTACACAGCACCTCACTGGAAATGTGAACTGGATTCCCCACGGGGATCTTAAATTCCAATAACACTAAGAAATAAGCCCCGTGTACAGCTGGGCATGGTGCCTCATGCCTGTAATCCCAGCACTTTGGGATGACAAAGCGGGAGGATCTCCTGAACCCAGGAGTTTGGAACCAGACATGCAACACAGTGAAACCCCATCTCTACTAAAAGTAAAAATACAGAAATTAGCTGAGTCTGGTGGTGTACACCTGTAAACCCAGCTACTTGGGAGGCTGAGGTAGGAGGATTGCTTGAACCCAGAAGGCAGAGGCTGCAGTGAGCTGATACCACCCCACTTCACTCCAGCCTGGGCCACAGAGGGAGACCCTGTCTCAGAAACAGAAAGACACAGTCCTGTGTAGTATAAAAGCTTGACTAGAATTCAGGATGCCTGTGTTTTATACTTTTTTCATTTCACCTTATGAGCCTTGATAGGATACTTAAGCTTACTATGCTTTCAAGTTTTTAAATGATAAAATGACTCTTTGTTGACTTTCAGGTTGTCCTCTAAAATTTACATGGTTTTTCAGATATTACAGATAAGGAAAAGGAGAGGTCCAAGATGTTAAGTAACTTGTCCACTGAATCCAGAGCCTAAACTCTTACCCACTTTGTTACAGCATTTATCCTAGGGCCAGCCACGGAACTGGGCGTAAGTCATTTACAGAGAGGCTACCATTTTATGATTCAAGTGCTGCTGTAGTGGGTAGTTGCTCACTGGTTTAAAAAAAAAAAATAGCCAGAGAAACTGTTTAGTGTCAGGCATATATGCAAACTATGGCTACAATTTTTTTTTTGCACATTTATTCTATTTTAGATTTTGGAGGCAAAGTATCACTCCATCACCCAGGCTGGAGTGCAATGGTGTGATTACCACTCTTTCTACCTTCCAGGCTCAAGTGATTCTCCCACCTCAGCCTCCTGAGTAGCTGGGACTAAGGTGTGTGCCACCACACTCTGCTAATTTTTTGTAAAGACGGGCATTTGCCATGTTTCCCAGGCTGGTCCGAAACTCCTGGGCTTAAGCAATTCATCCACCTTGGCATCCCAAAGTGCTGGATTACCTGTGTAAGCCACCGTGTTCAGCCAAGAACCCTTTATATTTACAGGTTATGTCTGTGGCATGCCTAAAGTGGACTAAAATGGAGCTAGTCAATATAAAGTATGATGTTATAGCTCCATGAAAGCTGGCAGCCGTATGATTGGAAGCATGATTTTGCACCCTACCTTCAGTTTTCATTTGGCTAGCTCTTATATTGCAAATCCAGTCATGATTTACATTTAAAGAAAAGAAAGAATTCATCTTCACCCCAAAGGGCTAATCCTCATAGTTTACAACTTAACACCTCTTGACTAACAGTAACCAGAAGCACTAGGTTCAACATGAACTTGAAATAATACGTTCTAAGGCCTAATGTCTTTGGAAACCAATCATTCTCAGAACTCAGTTGACACAAAGTCATATTAAGAGTTGTGTGTAGAAGAATGTACTGCTGCTTTCTCCTGCTCATTTATTTATTTATTTATTACATATTTTTTTTTTGTTTAATTTATTTATTTGAAATGGAATCTCGCTTTGTCACCCAGGCTGGAGTGCAGTGGTGTGATCTTGGCTCATGGCAACCTCCACCTCCCGGGCTCAAGTGATTCTCCTGCCTTAGCCTCCTGAGTAGCTGAAATTACAGGTACATGCCACCATGCGGGGCTAATTTTTGTATTTTAGTGGAGACGGGTTTTCACCATACTGGCCAGGTTAGTCTCTAACTCCTGATCTCATAATCTGCCCACCTTGGCCTGCCAAAGTGCTGAGATTATAGGCATGAGCCACTGCGTCCAGCCTCTCCTGTTTTTTCTTTTTTAACTTGCATAAGTGAACAAGGACTTGGTATAATTATCAATATTAGAAATTACTGACATTGGCTGGGCACGATGGCTCACACCTATAATCCCAGCACTTTGGGAGGCCAAGGCAGGCAGATCTCCCGAGGTCAGAAGTTGGAGATCAGCTTAGTTAGCATGGTGAAACCCCGTCTCTACTGAAAATACAGAAATTAGCTGGGCGTGGTGGCAAAAAGAAAAAAAGAAATTACTGACATTATTTAGTTATATCTAGAATCACAGAATCAAAGAAGAGACTTTTAAATTCATCTGATCTGGCTTCTCCATCTTGCAGGTGAAAAAATAGGCCTAGAAGGGTGTTAGCAGCAATAATGGTAAGAAAAAAAAATTACTTATATCTTTAATATTCACCTTAAGTATGTATTTAATAAAACAGGAAAAAATTAATTCCAGACTAGATATATTAATAACATCAATAATTAATTATGATATTAAGCATACTAATTATAGTAATCATTAAATATTGAAGAACTTAAAGTTATTAAAAATAAGCAAGTTTGAATTAACAGGTATTTGGCCAGAGGGTTTTTTCTTCCTATTTTGCCTTCATAAACCCTGTAGGAAGGGTAACAGCTTAGCTCTCTCCTGCTCAATGGGTAAAGAGAAACTGGCTGATCTATTTTATGTCTTCCATTTTGCAAGTTCCTTACATGGTTTTCCAGATGAGGCAGAGAAAAAAATCAAGAAAGCAAGCTTCATAATTGCCCTGCCTAGCCGGGCACGGTGGCTCACACCTCTAATCCCAGCACTTTGGGAGGCTGAGGTGGGCGGATCACGAGGTTAGGGGTTTGAGACCAACATGGTGAAACCCTGTCTCTACTTAAAAATACAAAAATTAGCCGGGTGTGGTGGTGCGCACCTGTAATCCCAGCTACTTGGGAGGCTGAGGCAGGAGAATCGCTTGAACCTGGGAGGTGGAAGTTGCATTGAGCTGAGAGCGAGGCATTGCACTCCAGCCTGGGTGACAGAATGAGACTCGGTCTCAAAAATAAATAAATAAATAAATAAATAAATAAAATGCCCTGCCCAAGCAACTCAGATGGCATGTTAGTTCCCTGGTCAACTGTTTGATTCAGGAATCTTTGAAATTGAGGGCATTCTGGCTTCATTGATGAACCATAAAGACTTAACTTGCAGTTCATTATCTTACGTAAAGTATACTCTTTCCTGTCGGACACGGGGGCTCATTCCTATAATCACAGCACTTTGGGAGGCCAAGGCAGGAGGATTACTTGACCTCAGGAGTTCAAGACCAATTTGGGCAACATGGAGAAATCCTGTCTCTACAAAAAATACAGAAAATTAGCCAGATATTGTGGCACGTGGATGTAGTCCCAGCTACCTAGGAGACTTAGGTGGGAGAATCACCTGAGCCTGGTGATCAAGGCTGCAGTGAGCTGTGATTGTGCCACTACACTCCAGCCTGGGCAACAGAGTGAGAGCCTGTCTCAAAAAACAAAGAAAGAAAGAAAGAAATACTCTTTCTATGAGATAAATCTAGACTTCAGAAAATTGTGACAACTTCTATTTTTAACGTTTATTGAAGACTTTTTTTGGCACTAGATGCTGAGCTAAGGGTTTTATATGTATTATCTCATTTTTCCTCACAGCGTCCTTATGATGTGGGTTTTATTATCCCCATTTACGCATGGAGAAACTGAACTTAGGGAAGTTTTGTAAGTTCCTCACCACTACACAATAAGTGATTAGCAAAGTTGGAATTTGTAGCCCGTGCATTTCATTCAATTATCACATGTTGAAATCTCATTTTAGGACTGCAAAAGTAGAAATGTAATTAGAACTAATCAAATTTAATTTCATATTTAAAATATATTTATATTTTAGAAGGCTGGTGTTAGGTTGTTATAAATCTATACAGATGGAGCATCCCTAATCCAAAAATCCAAAATCTGAAATATTGCCGAATCTTAAAGTTTTTGTGTGTCAACATGGTACCACAGGTGAAAAATTCCACACATAACTACTTAACAAAAACTTTGTTTTATGCAAAAATTATTTAAAATATGGCACAAAATTACCTTTAGGCTTGTGTGTATAATGTGTATATGAAATATAAATGAATTTCGTGTTTAGACTTGGATTCCATCCCCAAGATATCTCATTAGGCATATGCAAATGTTCTAAAATCCAAAAAAATGAGAAATTTGAAACGTTTCTGGTCCCAAGCATCTCAGATATGTAATACTCAACCTGTGTATACAATATAAATGATCTTAGTTTTGTACAATAAAATATATATGACTATATACACACATAGAATAAGGTTTATTTTTATTTTTATTTTTTGAAATGAAGTTTCTTATCACCCAGGCTGGAGTACAATGGCATGATACTGGTTCACTGTAACCTCTGCTGCCTGGGTTCAATTGAT